TGGTGATCGGGTTCCCCTTATTTGCATAAAATCGCGTTGCATATCATCGCAATGTTTGGCTCCATTTTCTGCTGAAAGTCCGCATTCTCCACCATGAATTTAGTGAAGAATAAACACCGCTCCAGCATGAACACCTTCATCATTGTCTGAGACTATCTTCACACCATTTAATTCGTTTGCATTGTCAACACACCTTGAGATTATAAATGCATGTAGCATGAAATAAATCGTAATGTGTACTCTTATTTGTTTGTTATTGCGTCGTTTTAAATTAAGCCTTTCAAACGGACCTTTGACATCTAGGAAATTTGTGCGAGTGAGTCTTAATAATATTAACTGAGTATTTAACAAATAGTAACTGAGTAACCTGTACTATAGTCTACGTGTGTGTCGTGTGAACATTTACAGTTGATTGTAATGCTTCAGGCCAAATTAAATTTTGATCAGAGATAAAACTAACCAGAGCGGTTGTAGGAAACAATGTAAGGTACTCACAACACGTAGCAGTAAAAACAGTCCAGATAAATGATCCTCTGCCATCATTGATCTTAACCAGGTTCTTACCCTTCTCGTTGTGCTGAATGATCTCTCCACTGTACGTGTTGTCATGGTTCCCCGCTCTGCCTTTCGCTACCAACAACTTCTGGAGCTTCTAAGCTTGGAGCTTGTCACGGGTAATAACAACTGTTTGGTTAATAGAAGGAATATATCAGTGTGTTTGAGGTAAATCCTGAAGTCAGTCTTCAGATCCACCATCTCGGTTCTTCTTTTAAGATCAAATCTCAAGCCAGGTGGCTGCTTCACCTTCTAATGATCTTTGCAATCTGAATGGTCCTTGAATTCTTCTCTTTTAAGCTTTGCCATTTACAGTAGGTGAAGTGAATACAAGCCAAATTTTTGAATAATTTCAGCAGCAAATCGTCATAGACTATAAGCCTTTAACACTCGAAAGTTGTTTTTGACAACCACACTCCCTGTTGAAAAAATAACGAAATCGAACAACTGGTGTTAGCTGTCTGCTCCACCTTTACTGTGCACTTTTTTGGTATAAAATCAGAGCTATGACATAGAACTTGATATAAAATCTTGGTACCACGGCAAAATCACGACGATATGTTTTAACCAAATGTTTATTACCTTAAAACCTCGTGTAGTCAATCAAACGGAGTAAATGACTGAATCTAAAATAGAAGTGGTCAACGTCATGATGGCGTCTTGTACATACAAAACTGAAGTAGCCGGCGAATGGTCGGCTTTATTTTACAGTCTTGTCAAATCGCTAAGCCTAATCAGGAGAGTCTTATTAACTTAGTTATTGGTTTAAGCTACCCAGATTTCACATACCGCACCTGACCGCGTTAATCCCCTGACCCAACCAAACACTGCTTTCCCTTGACACAGCTGCCCCCATCCCCTCCTCAGCGGATGCCCATGAAAGGAGGAGAGGTGGTGAATGCAAGGACTAAAATCTCTAAACCTTAGTGTGTTGTGTGTTGCCTTCTTCTGTTGACCATCAAAAATATCAAGCTACTGCACACAGCCAATGATGAAGTACCATACCTCCACCAATAACATTTTTATTTTATTTTTTAGATATGAATTTAACGAACCCGGGGTAATTTTTTTTTAGCTGATTTGGATTTGGTTGGGTCGTGTCGCCAATTTAAAAAAAAACATTTTAACGGCTGTGTTCGTTGTAATTCTTTTACACGAACCATTTTGACATCAATTATTTCTAGCAGAAAAGTGAAAACGAAGTTACGGGAAAACGGATTTGAATTAGAAAATTTTAAGGGGTAACGAAGGTTTGCGCGTTCGGGGTAAATATTAGGCTATAACGAACTAATTGTTTACCATGTGAACTTGTACGGTAATTTTGTACTGATTGTGTGTGTGTGTGTGTATTTATTCAGTAAAATCATCAAGAAACTTCAAAATTGTTCAGTAAACAGTGAGTCGATTCATCCAAAGATAGCCCGAGAGAGCCATTAAAAGAGGCGAGGTTCACAGTTCTTCAGTATCAGATTTTATTTACTTATTTATTTATGGTAGGGGGGTGGTGGTGTAGGGGAGGTTCCTTCATCCTGTAGCGGGGCCAGGTTGTCTACTTCACCCTAACCTTCACACTCCACAATGTACTTTATTTCTTTTTAGTTAGTAGTTACTATTAACAAAACACTGGTGAAGGAAATTATTGTACCTGTGTCATCTGATTGTACTTGATGTGCCATAGGCTTAATTCATGTTATATAGTACTATAAGATTTAAAGTCTAAGTCTACTATATGCTGAGATTCCTTTTGTGTGTTCTCAGTCGCTTCAAATCGATTTTCTTATAGTTGATAGATAGATTTTAAGTATAATCGTCATACGAGTTTCCATTGGTTGAGCATGTACACATAGTCAATTATGCAGGTGCAAGTTGTGCAACAAAGAGCGACAAAGATGATTCTTTCACTATGTCATCTCGATTATCCAAGTAGACTGAGGGTGTTGGGAATAACAACTCATCAGACAAGGCACAATAAGGGTCTCACTGAAACACTCAAAATCCTGAAAAGGATGTAGAACGTGAACCCGAGCCATTTCTTTGTGATATCACGCACCACCAACAGGAGGGGACATAACTATACAAGCTCACCAAATTATTATGCAGAATGAACATAAGGAAATACTTATTCGCAAAGAGGGTGGTAGAACTGGAACAGTCTACCAGCACCAGATTCAAAATATCCCTTGACAAAATTACCAAGAAGGCAAGAACAATGGAGGCTACTGGTCTCGTTCCCTCACAGGGGCGGATCCAGAAATATCAAAAGGGGAGTGGGGGGGGGTCCGAAAAGTTGTGGGTGGAGGAACATGGCGAGCACAGCAAGTCCACTCAACTGAGGGGATTGGAGGAGGGGGCACTGTAAACCTCCCCATTTTTTTTTAATCTGACCAATATCATGGGCATTTAGAGGCCATTTTGAAGCCATGTGCACTTGATATTAAGAGATATTCTGGGGTCAATAGTAATTACTTTTTACTATACAAAAACGACCGAGTACAATACTGCATTAAATAAAAAGTAATGTAGTCTTCTGATGAAAAGAGGGGTCCGGACCCCAGTGCCGGATTTAGACCTGTGGAGGCCCATGGGCAGCCTCTTTGTGGAGGCCCCCCCTCATTATAATTACCCAAGAGGGTGGGGTGGCGAGTGAAGCAAGCCTAAGCATCTGGGAGTTCCGGGGGGCGCTGTAAGCCCCCCGGGAAAATTTTGAAATTTGAACACTTCTTTGGAGAATTTTGAAGCCATATGCAGTTATATTGAGGAAATTAGAACATTGAGAAATTTTTAATTTACTGTATATTTATTGATAGTGTACAAATTCTCAACACACACAAAAGTGAGACATGACTGGAGTCATTCATGTGGTTTCATGTCGACCAGCCCTGATATAGCTACTACCGCACATGTCAAAAATTTTCAAGAGACTTCACAGAAAAGAATATATTATTAGTTATTACAGAGAGATTATTCTTTGCATTATTCATGAATTTCAAAGAGTAGCTAGCCTAATTTCTGTCACGCTTCTTGCTGAACATAGTTTTACGTGATGGAATAGATAAACATGAAATTTAAAGAATGAAAATAAAAATAATCCAAATGAATAAACAAATACATAAAATATTGTAATATGTGGAGGTCCCTGGGCTGCTGCCCACTTTGCCCACTCCTGAATCTGGCCCTGCCGGACCCCCTGGATCCGCCCGGCCTCGGCTTGGCCACCTCTGAATCTAGTACTTGTAGTGGGTGGCCATTAAGTAAAGTAAGGTATACATTGTACACAGTAGGTGTAGATATACCATGCATACGTAGTATATACAGTGCAGGTATGCAGTGGCGGCTCGTGAAAAATAAAATGGAGGGACTGCAAGCCTCACACAACAGTAGGATACACAAATTTGACCTACCTCAGGTATGAGTTGTAGTTGATGTCCACGAATTCCCAGGGCATGGTAGTAGTGTTGGTGGTAGAAGGTGGTGATGGACCAGTATTAATTGAAAATAAAGTCGGCGCGTCTGCTCTTCGATGTAGCAAAATTGTTTATTACTATTTCATTAAAATCCTTTATTTCTGTTATCATTTTATTTTCAATGGATATCACTGCTAAAGCAGACAGTCTGTCATTCACCATGTATTACTTGAAAATAAAGCACGATTTAACCACACCGTCCACACACAATGTAAACACGAGACTGAGCGGCGGCGCCAATTAATAACAGACATGAATCGTACAGCATTGACAGCAACTATGAAAGTAACTTAAATTTTGGTCTGATTTTAATGAAAATTCACTTAGCAACGTATTGAAAATAATTAAATAACATATAAAATGATATATTTGTTGGTAGTGTATTATTCAGCTGTCTCTCTAAAGGAATCATACGCCTGGCAGTAAGTGTCTGGGGGGGACTGCAGCTCTGGTGCAAATAACTTACACTACATTATATATTATCTGCATTGTTTATATACATGGTGGACGAACGTAAACTTGTATTGCAATAATATATTTATAACACATGCACTGAATAATAGAAAGGGGAATCTTACAAAGCCAAAAGGCATTACAACCTGGATCTAACATCAGATATCTGGCAGAACAATCACTGAATATCCATCATTCATATAAATCGAACCTAATTCAACCTAACCTTACACAAACTTGTCTTACCCAGCCTTACCACAAGTAATATATCATGAATTTCTTTGCATGCTACAAGCCGATCAGTGGCGAAGAGGATAAAAGTAAAATAAAATTTGAAAAAAACCTCTAGCAGATAGCAAGTGACGGTGTTCCACGAATAAAATTATTCAATCGTTCTACGTACTCATTTATAGTTATAACATTAATTATTTTACAAATTTGTGGGAAAAAGTTGACGAATGTGTGATATAAGTGAAACATTAGGTATATAATGACAGAAGGCGTAAGTTTCTATTTCGGTGTTTGGATGCCCGCTCCCTCACCCCGCACATGACTGCTGGCAGCTGATCAGGAGGCACAAGGACGACGTGGGTGAGCTATTTTCAGAGTTTCTCCAATAGTTTACTACTTAGGTTTTATCACTCGTAGTCAGTACGCTAATCAGCATTGTCATTACTCAGTGACCAGGGATGGAATGATTTTGTGACAAATATTTCTTCATTTGTGGTGTGATGGCGACGTAATAGGAGGCACCATGGGCCTGCCTGAAGAGCGAGGCTCAGGCAGCTCCCGTTTTCTGTGGTGTAGTGTAAATAAAGTAGAAATATTTGAAATCGAATCCACTGACTCGATCACTGTAGCACTTGAGGGGGTTTCCCAATCGATATGGCGTGTGGAAATATAGAAGTAGGGGCAGTGCTCCGTCTGAGAAGCGAAGTGAACATTTTATGGAGGAAGGTTGTCAGAGGGGACACCATGGTAGATGAAGGTGATGGTGGGGCTGGAGGTGTTAGTGTGGGCGTCTACCCCATCACACCCATTAAATGGAAGAGCAAATTAATAGATATAAAATTCTCTTGTAATCAAGGGGTAGACTGGCCCCATAGCGCAATTATGAAGAACAAAGTACTAAATTTAATGGATGAAATTTATGACTTGGAGGGTAAAGTTGATATGTTGACCCAGGTAGTGCAAACATCAACTGACACTTCTGCCTTGGAGAATGTGCCAAAGTTTACTTCCATTGAATCCTTAACAAACCAGGTAGCACTGATAAAAAAACTGTTTAAGCAAGTGAGAGAGGAGGGAAGGGAAGCATTTATGTACCTGGAAGGAGAAAAAAGAGAGATTGAGAAGGACGTTAAAGCATTAAAGGATATTGTGAATGAGGAATTTAGCTCAGGTTTAGATACAAAAGTTCAGAGAGAAAGAAGGTTGGCAAATAAAACATATGATAATTTTAATAAGGTACTTGATGTGTATGATGCTGAAGTAGAAAATTATAGAAAGAATGACAAGTCAGAAAATTTACAAAGACAAAAGGCACAGGAAATGAATCCAATTATTATGCCATGTTTTAGTCACAGCTGGGAGGAGAAAGACCATCTTCAGTTTGTGAAAGTTTATCGGAGGCACAGAATGAAACAGAGGCGGATGGAAGAATGGCAGAGAATTCTCCCTTACAAAACAGAAAATGATGTATTACAACATTGTGCCAGTTATGAAACCTTCTTAAATAAAAAAGACCAAGTTAAAAATAAATTAATCCAGTGGAAAAGTGAAAAAGAGAAAGAACAGACAGAAATTCAAGAAAAGATATCAAAGGAAAAGATAGAAAATGAAAAAAAAATGGAATCGATAAGGAAAGCGAAAGAAGAACGACTAAAGGAAGAGCAGGAAGAAAAATATAAGAAAATTATTGAATGGAAGAAAACAAAAGGGGTAGATAGAATCACTGGTGAAAAGATTGAAGAGAGAGTAGGAAAATCCACCAGAAAACAAAATAAAATGACAACTCGTGAACGGAAGGTAAGCAGATTTACCGATGAGGAAAGAAAAAATATAGGGGTACAGCTTCAAGCATACAGTCAATGGAAAGACCAACAGAAACGAGAAGAAATGCAAAAGAAACAAGAAGATGAACTATTGAAAAAGAAGTTGTACAGTGCAAGTAACAGAAATGAATTTTGTAAGAAAGATGAGCAATATATAAAAAGTAAAAGGGATCGGAATGAAATGCAAATCCGAAATAAAGAAGAACAAAAGAAGAGGCTTGAGAAAATCAAAGCATCTCTACAAGTTAGTGTAGAGAAGAGCAAAAACCGCCTTTATGAGCCAACTATAAGTCACACAGCATACAAGTTAAGCTCGCGGGCAAAGGAAAGTTCATGTGTCAGTGTTGATGAGATTCCTCGATTAGGAACTCCTGTGTGGAGGCTGGGAATTTAAGAGGTGTTATGAATCAGGAAACACAAACTACTGTAAGTACAGTGCATCAGAAATCTTGTGTTGTACATAGATTCAAAGTTTTTATAGTACTGTATTGTTAATATATATTATATATATTTATTGTACAATATATATCTAGTACAGCTCCTCCCTAACTTACGACAGGGTTAGGGACCCAAATCCAGGTCGTAAGTCGAAATGGTCGTAAGTCGAAAATGCTTAAATAATACATAGAAAATCTAAAATGGGTGTATTTTTCTTCTCAGCACCACAAAACTCTCACTTTTAAGCTTGCCAGCCATTTTAAAGTGAATTACAAACGAAAATTTTGTCAGTACACAGCGCAATCACTGACGTTGGGACTCGAAAATACATAATTTGACAAAATTTTGGTACGACTGAGGCGGTCATATGTCCGGGTGGTCGTAAGTTGAGTAGGTTGTAAGTTGGGGAGGAGCTGTATACTGTATTGACATTTATAATGGGATACTAGATGTCTAACTTTTGTAAATTACAATATTTGAATTTTATAGAAATGAAACAGTCAAGCATTAATATATTGTACTGTACTATACTGTACTTGAGAAAAATGGAATTGAACAAGTTACACAACTGAAAAGCACTTCATGTCATTTGCCATGTATGTCATGGGATGTTGACTGTGGTAAGATACGCTTAATCCAATTTACAAATGGTACTTTGTTTTGTACATATGTACTGCAGGGGTCCCCGACTTACGAACGCCCGCCGATACAAACGAGGTGAAACTTCAAATTTACAGTATTTTTTTTTAGCTGATGACTTATTTTTTACTTTCATTTACTGTATTTTGTTATTCTATTTCTTTTTTCTTTCTCTTAATTTAAGTGATTTTAGATGTATATAAGGACTTAGGCTATAATATAGTGGGATTTTAAACATTGTTCTGTAATTACGGTATGCACATAGCATGTGTTCTGATTTAGGTACAGGTTCAGGAACTGAACCTATTTGTAACCCGGGGACCCCCTACAGTATATAGTGCAGAATGTAGGGGAAGTTGAGTCAAATCTAGAAATACAAAATGCTGCTTTATGAAATACACTACATTAGTACCCATAAAGGTTTTATTTGTTTCTTTATATCTTGAATTAAATATATTGTACTGTACTCTATATTACTGTATTTCTCTTCCCCATACCTGTCTGTAATTTTTGTTTTATAACCTAATGACCTTCACTTTGCAACTTGGGTTCAGGATGTAAGGAACCCTTGATTGATATTGAAACAGTTTATTTAGCCAGAATAATATAGATACAGAGTCGATTAAAAATCCTAATATTAACATGACTGAGCCAGTTGAGAGCCTGAGCTCTCTTGTAGGCTTGAACTTAATCTTATGATTAGCCTTAAAAAATCTGTTGCTGTCATCCTGAAGGGGAGTCGGAAGTGTAATGCTGTTACACTTGGCATGTACAGCACCTTTGGCTTGAAATATTATAGGTTGGCCATTTATTTTTCAGGAACAGCTCTTTTGTTCCTGTCACTTAATGAGACTGAGCAGTCACCTTCACCTTATGCTTATCTCCATCATCTTTGGGATGTAAATGTGTTCCTTTAATTATTAGTACAGCATTTTGATCTCTTGGCTGAAAACAATTATTTTAGACCATTAGCATTAGTATTGAGATTTTTTACTTTGTTGTTTCTAGCTGTGAGAATCTTTACTTTTCCTAAACGACCAACTTTGAGGTTAACTGGTGTGTGTAATGTAGACCAACAGAACCTAACACTGCAAGTGATCAGCCCAAGGCAAGGAGGTACTGTATCATGGTATTATTAAACGAAATTATGGGCATCATATTTTTGGATGATGGGGGACACTGTAACCTCACCTTGGAAGGAGTTAGACCAACACACAACACTGAATTCGCTTTAAAGTGATTACAGTGTGTACATTTCTATTCTTCATTGGACATACAATAATTGACTCCTTAGGGAGGTTTGATAACTATTTAAGGCTGAATCAGGTCTTTCAGTGACAACAAGGAGATCTTTTTGTTGAACATTACATTATCTGCCTAGTTTTTGGTTGTCACAATACTTTACAGTACTGTATAAAGGATTTTGGGACCAATCTTCCATTTCTTGCAGAGCCCATTAGCCTGAAGCTTTGGATATCCTCCCTCCTCCTTTAGGTTTGTGAATCAACTATAAGTAAAGCAATATGACAGATTGACTTTGCAGTCTAACCAGTTTTAGTTACCCAAGTTGCCGTACAGAGTTGGATTGTAAATGTCGTATTGATTCTGAAATTCCATTTTATATCAGGAGCTATAACATAAATAAATTGACTAGCCTGTAACAGCTGAGGTGCAAGTGTGTATACATGCATGTTGTTGCAACTCATCAGACACCTACTTTTAAAGGTGATCTTTGCTTCCAGCTTTTCATTTTAAGGTTGCAGCATGGCTGTGATGAGTAATTTTGGGATAAAACAGTATTATTCTAATGTTAGTGTTGCTCCAGGTTCCTGACCCCATACAGTGTATTGTCTGTGTCAACAAGCTGGGGCTTAATTAAAAATTGGGATTTAAATTTTTCATTTTTATTTTTTTTTTAGATAATGGTCCATTGAAAAAATATGAATACCCCAATAGTGAGAAAATCAGGGAATATGAATTTCAGCATTCTTGAAAGTTATTTTTATCCCTCAACCTCAACTTAAATTGAAAAGTACTGTATTGTTGTCACGTATGCCATTTCTCTCTTAGTGTTCACTTCTGTAGTCAACATAAAATATCGTAGAAGAATTAGATATAGTTCCCCAAATAAGATGAGGATTGAATTGGATGAGGATTTTGCTGCTATTGTTATGCTCATTTCACTCCCTATTTTATATGGATGAGAGATTATATCCCTGCGTGTATTTTTTCACTACCTAATATTATCTAACTGATAAAAAGGTTGTTATAGGAGACAGTGTATCAGCAAATTTGTGATAGGAAATGAGGGTCAGATAAGAAAGAAAAGAAAGTCTTGGTAGACTGGACCTCAGCACTTTTGAGGTGGGTAAACTAATGCATATATGTACCATTCAGATAAACTTCATAGTTATTCAAGATAAGTCACTTAAATAACTAGTCTCCAGATAAAGATACTGTACAGGTAGTCCCTGATTTATGAAGATTTGGTTTACAAAAATTTGAAGTTTGAACAAAAATTTTCCTCTGATTTGATTTACGAATGAACAATCCTAAGTTACGATTTTCCCTGAGCAATAATAAAAATATTAGACTAAAGTAATGCAGTTGTTGTATTACAGGTACTAGTACAGTAAGCTTAATTATTTTGCTGCCTTATTTTATTATTCAATGTGTCATCATTCTCTTCAAACTCACTGGGGACAAGTAAACTTATCTCCACCACCACACACAGTCACTCACCTAATTGCCTGATTGTCCAATTTCTCCTCATTTACTCTCATGTACAGTAGCTAAAAAAATATCTGTACATACTATAGTGTGAAACAATATGAGACCACGGACGATAGTTATTGGGATATGCGTGTTGTCTCCTTATACTATGTTATTGTAACAGTTTGAATTGAATTGTAACAGTTTATTTAGCCAGAAAAATACAGATACAGAGTGGATAATAATAACAATATATGCTAACTTGTCCCCTGTGTTGGATACTGAATGGCGGTGGGTGAAAAGACACATAACAACCCTCCCAAAACATCACTAGTTGTACGTATAATTTTGGAAGTCATCGGACTCGCCTTGTCAGATACATTTTTTAGCTACTGTACCATAATACAGTACTGTACAGTATATGGAAAATTAATTCAATGAAAATAATTCTGTATTCTTAAATATCATAGGTTAATTATGGACAATTAAGGTGTAGGGCTGTAAGAGAAAGTGGAATTTGGAAATAAACAAAGGTTTGGAGGCATGGATATTCCTGGCAATGCACAAGAGAGCACGAGAACTGACTGAGAACATCGTTTGCACCATATAAACAAAGCTGTTGGAATTTAGCAAGGATTAGAGACAGTAAGGATAGTTCCCTGGGCACTTGTTTTACCCACCATGCACAGCTCGGTGACGTCACTGTTGTAAATACGTTTCGTCTGGTAACCTCCGTGTGTGCCCGCGTCTGGTCCCTGGACCAATGTATCAACAATTATGGTTATTTGTGCAATATACGGGCACATCAGCAAAGCTCAAATCCCAAGCAGAGAGTACATCAAGTATTACAGATATGCCAGAGATAAGAAGACTTGTGATAAATGGATAAATGCCCACAAGCGTTCTGATAAAATAAACACATTAGGCTAGCCATGAACCTGTTTGAAGAGTTCATATTTCTCTTGTATCTCCTTGATTCTGGAATGTCTGTCAAAATCCAGGTATCTACAGGAAGGTGTGACATTCGTCTTTCCATATGTGGCCAAAAAAAACTTGAAACATCTTTAATAATCCTAAAAAAATTAAAGTTAAGTATACATCCATACGTGGGTTTCAGGTGTAACACCGTGCTTATTTCAAGTCGTGAAGGAAGATTTCCTGTAGTTTCTTAATTCTGCAATGTCGGTCAATATCAGGTCATCCAGAAGACTATGAGACATTTTTCTTGCCACATCTGACAAAAAGACCACAATAATATTGCCTCAAATATAAGAAAAACCAGATTTATATCACTTAATTCACTGGCGATGGTTGTGATGCTTAACACATCGAAAACTTGCGCAATTTTCTTAAGTATGCATTGTAAGGCAATATCCATTTGTCTGGAGTACCCTCAGACATTCACCTTGCCATGTCTGGCAAAAGGAAAATCTTTGCATTGCTTATAAGCTCAAAAATTGAGTTTCTTCTTCCATGTCATCAGCAAAATGCCCGGCACCCACTGGGTGTTTCCTTGTAATATTTTGCTGTTTTCTTTGTTGTTTTTTTGCTATGTCACTTATTTTTTGGAGGACTATAAGAAAATAAAGCATTCATTTTGTTATACCTGGCCACAGAAAAGCCTTGGCCTTACGAGTATTCTAAAAAAAATTGAAATAATCAAACGTCAACCAAGGCAAGGCCGTAGTCCTTGTGGTCACCACAGGTAGCGTGACATCATCGAATGGGGTGGAGCTTAAGTTTATGATGTTAGAGCAGTGTGTCCTTACTGTATACAGCTACTCCTCGACTTACTACATACTCGACCTACGACCACCCGCACTTACGACCTGCCTCGGTCGGTACGACCACCCACACATACGAACGCTATAGTCGGTACCAAAATTTTTTTCAAATGACGCGCGTATTTTCTAGACCGAAACGTTTCCGTCCCATACGAGAACGTCGCGTGGGCTGGGTCGCGCCGCCTCGTGGCTACAGCACCCACGCCGTAGAGCGCTTAGTTGGTGTTTGGCTGTCGTTGTTCTCGCAACTGATCGAGCTGTGTACTGACATTATTTTTGTATCTAATTCACTTTAGAATGACTGGAAAGCATAGAAGTGAGAGTGCTGGTGGTGCTCAGAAGAAAAGGAGACGTCAATTACTTTTGAGACGAAAATGACATTAATAATGCAGTATGAAAATGGAAAAACAGTAGCAACCATTTCATGTGACCTAGGCTTCTCGCACTCAACCATATCTACTATTTTGAAGGACAAGGAACGTATTCATGAGGTAGTGAAAGGATCAGCACCTATAAAGGGAACTATAATAACGAAGAAAAGACAAGGTCCCATTCATGAGATGGAAAAATTACTTGTGATATGGATGGAAGACCAGATACAAAAGCGTGTACCCTTAAGCCTTCTAACCCTACAGGCTAAGGCAAGAAGCCTTTTCGAAAGCCTGAAGGAGCAGGTAGGAGATGAGTGCGACCAAACCTTCACAGCAGGTCATGGGTGGTTCCAAAGGTTTAAGAACCGCTGCAGTTTACACAGTGTAAAAATGAGTGGAGAGGCAGCTAGTGCTGATGTTGGTGCTGCCGAAGCTTTTAAGGAGTAGCTAGATTGTGTCATCGTGGAGGGAAATTATTTGCCTGAGCAAATATTCACTGTGGATGAAACTGGCTTATTATGGAAGCTCATGCCTGAATGGACATACATCCACCGAAAACAATGTCGGGATTCAAGGCGTTCAAGGAGATAAAGCTCTTCATGATATATCATTCAGAGAACCCAGGGGCTTTTAAACATGTCAGCAAGCACACACGGCCAGTGTTTTATCGAAATAACAAGAAAGCATGGATGACCCTAGTACTATTTGAGGATTGGTTCATGACTTGTTTCATTCCACGAGCCAAGGAGTATTGTCTGCAACAAGGGATTGCGTTCAAGATTTTGTTAATTTTGGATAATGCTCCAGGACACCCACCACACCTGGACGACATGCACCCTGATGTTAAGGTAGTCTACATTCCACCTAACACTACCTCTATTATCCAACCCATGGATCAAGGTGCTATTGCAGCTTTTAAAGCAAATTATTTACGTACGACCTTTGCTCAGGCTGTTGCTGCTACTGAAGGTGAGAAAACGCTCAGAGAGTTTAGGAAGGACTCCAACATATTGAAATGTATAAAGAACATAGCTGCAGCATGGGATGTGGTTACAGGTCAGTGCATGAATGGAATATGGAAGAAAACCCTGAAAAGATATGTGAACAATTTCAGAGGATTTAATGGAGATAAAGTAATTTCTGAGATTAGTAACAAGATAGTGGAGTTGGGTAAACAGCTTGAGTTAGAAATTGATAATGAAGATGTTGAGCAGTTGGTTGAAAGTGTAGCAGAAGAGCTAAGTAACGAGGATCTTACTGAACTGGAAGCACAGAAAAATGCAGAGGAAGAAGAGAGTCTAAATGTAGAAGAAGCTGCACTCCCCAAAAATTTTACAGTGAAGCAAATGGCAGAGGCATTTGCTTCAATTAATAAGGGGATGCAAATGTTTGACGGAATGGATAAAAATGTTGAGCGTTTTGCCAAAGTTGACAGAATGGTCCAAGATGCACTTGCTTGCTACAGGGAAATTTATAATGAAAAGAAAAAGCAAACTGTGCAGTCTAAATTGGACATATATTTTAAGTCCCCCCCCATTGCTGTCTCCTTACGCCCCACCAGTGCTGTCTCTTCACTCCCTAAAGATGATCCAAGACCTTCAACCAGCAAGTTTCCCGTGTATATTAACCTGTCTGAAGAAAGCGACATTGATGATCCACCCAGTCCTGTCTCCTTCTTTGCTTCATCCTCTTAATGTAGTCTCCATGTATAATTAGAAAATTATGGGTGCCCCGTGTGCATTCAGCTGACTACATTCAAGGTAAGTGCACAGTATCACTGTGTCCATTTTTCATTATTGATTCCTTTTACTGTACTGTATTTCATTTTAGATCTTCTATGTACATATTATTTTTTGCATTTTCGACTTAAGACCTGGATTTGGGTCCCTATCCCCGTCGTAACTCGGGGAGCAGCGGTATAGTCCTTGGAATTTAGGATGACACAAGAACTCATCGGGGGTTGAGTGTTTTTTTTTTTTTTTTCCGTTGAAAACATATCTCCATTTATACAATGAGAGTCATTGTATTACTAGGGTAATATATTTATGTATTATAGATGTTGCCTAAGTATATCATAGCATTCACTTTGTTTCAAATCTTATCTGGTTTCTTGTAAGTAAAAATATAAGATGAGTACTGTACTGCATGTATGATGTTTCAAATAAAAATTTTATTATTGGCTTATAATTTTTGTATACACAAGAACTTGCATTTGAAAACATGTCATGTGGCACTTTTAGACATTATGGGGATACAGTACAGTATTTTTTTTTTTTATTATTTTTTTTTTTTACAGGAACGTATTTCGACTTTTATAATGAGAGTTTGTGGGAAAATGTTATCTGAACTGAAAAAAACAAATTATAGGAGGTTTTTAGGAATCCTTTCCTAAATTGGGGAATGCCTGTACAGTCTAGTTCTGTAGTTAAAATTTTTTTTACTTTCTATAAAACCTTATTCAGTACGTAACTGATATCCCTGGTAGCCGGAATAGTTGGCGCATAGCGCTTTCCTGGGAATGAGATATTTCCAGGTTCAGAGTATTAAGACGAATTTCTTTTCCCTGGAATTTTTCATCATGGAATTGATTATTTGCTTTTTGTAAGACATGAAAAAAGGAAAAATTTGCTGAGGAGTATTTACAACTTGTTAATAATTTCCTCATAAGAATAAAAAAAATTTTAGATGCAGAGGAATTGTTAGAAACTTGATAGGCAAGGGATGTGCGAGTACTGCACTGTTTACTTGTGATCCCAAGATATGCAAGTCCTTTGTTTGTTGTTATGAGAAACTGTTAAACAGTTTTTGTCATGTTCAGTGTGCTGAATAGATATAAAATTAAGGTGCAGGCTTAATTTCTGGTACATACTGCTTGTTTTAAAACAATATTTTGTATACTCATTTATCTAATTAATCCTCTCAACATAATGTCACAAAACAGATACAGGTCCTGTAACATTATATCAATAGCTAAAGCTTGAGATTATTTCTTGTATTAATAAGTAATATAAGGACAATATCATATCCCTTATTCAAATTCTTCTTTCATTTTCTCCCCAGCTGAGTGGGTTGCGAAGAGTTTCTTGCAGCTGCAGTCATGTTTAGATCAAAAGGTGGCATCGATGTGGCCGACATACCCAGTAAGTCCTGTACTTCATTGTGTTATAAAATTATGTTAACATGTCTACTGCACTTCATAAAATAACTAAAGTTAATGGCATAGCTTTTCTGTACAGTACTGTATTTTGGGAGAAGAATAGAAAAAGGGAGTCACAAGGTGGAAAGATGCAATGTGAGGGTGTTTGTGAGTGAGAGGGTGCTGTTGTGGATAAGTGCACCGAGTTGTACAGGGTGTCTCAGGTTGTAGACCAAAGGATTTTTTTTTTTTTCAGGTGAGGGAATCATAACAGGTCAACAAAAATTAGGTGACGGGGACCAATCAAATGGTTACCTCTTGATTTCTTCTGATAGGGTCACCTATAAGTGGTTCTTTGATAATCTTGGTAGACAGATTTTAAATTGCCTCAATAAGAAATTGAGAGGTGTGAGGTCCAGAGACCATGGTGGCCATTTGGTTGATCCTTGTCTCACAACCTTCATTGATTTGTTGTGATTCCCTCGCCTGGAGAAAACAAAAGAGAAGAATATTAATTTTCTTATGATGCTTGAAATATAAGACACACTGTACAGAGAGAGGATTGGCTTGAGGAAACTCAATAATTGCCACCATGGGCTGAGATTCTCAAAGATTTAAACATAAATTTTCTTAACCATACCGTAATAAGGAAACAGGAATGTGCATAATTTCAGTAGAGTTGGCAAAATTTTTATGCTATTTGGAGATACTTGTCCAATTACAGGGAAAACCTAAAGTAGAAACCTGTTGAAAATCCAGTTGCTTCTGGGGAGTAGGAAAGGTTCACTGTGTGTATTAAGATAATTGGTTGGTATACAAAACAAAGGATCAGAAGTTTTGGGCAATTATGTGGACCTGTGTCGTTAGATCTCTGAGACTTAGAGCAGCTTTGATGGTCAGCAATTGAAATGTTTGGTGGTGGTCATGCTTGACACAGATGTGAATCAAGCATTTAATTTTTTTTTAGCACTGACAAAGCATGACATCCGTGATAAGGTTTGGTCACACTTTGAAGAACATGATTTAGCAACTTTTCCTCGGCCTGTCAGCAATCGCATTCCTAACTTTAAGGTGAGTTTAAAAACAATATTAGAATTCATGATTTTTCTTTTGATTTTTCATCTTCTTTGTTTTCAATAAGGCATTTTTCTGTGATGTAATTTTTTGGTCCATATTTTACCCTCCTTTATAAGGAACCTGGAGACCTCCATATATAGAATGCAATAAAAATTATCTTACCTTGGTGTTTCTGATTTTTTTTGCTTAATGTTAATGCAAAATATTATTTGACAGTGCATGATTACTTAGAAAGTCTTAGAAGTTCCATTTATAAGTTGGATTATACCCAATAGACAGGTGTACATGCACACAAAAGAAAGCTTTCTGCCCACCTGGGTCTGGTATTTGGAAATGAACACAAAGTACAGCGGTTTTGGTTCGGTGAACAGATAGTTTTTTGTGTGTGTTTGTACATGTAAGTAGGTTTGAAAAGCATTGGCATAAGAGAATTATTCTGAGCAGAAACTAATGGTATGAGTTAAATCTTTACTTCCAAAAAGACAAACTTCTGATATAGTTTGATGGCCCTTTGTGTAATTTTCATGAGTATTAGTATTCACCTTATCTTAATCAAAATCATGTGGACATACAAGATATTTTTATATCTTAACCTGAACAGTGAAATATTAAATATTTTAGAATTCCTTAATTATTATTTTGTTTTGTTTAATATAATGCTACGTAATACAGGCCAGTTCATCATTAATTGTGCTGGCATATATCATTTGAAGTTATGATGATTGGTGCTGTTTTAGATTCAACTTTGGACCATTGACATAAACCTGTAGTTTTGTTTTATGGCCGTCAGGTTCCAGTAAGTTTTTTGTTTTTCTTTGGTTTGTAGTAAAATCTACTTAAATAAGCCTTAGTTTAATGATATAGTGGACTTGCAGGGTGCTGGTGAGGCAGGTCAGCGAGTATGTAACCTCCAGTGCTTCACCTCTGCCCAGACCATCAAGGTGAACCCTGACAAACCTCAGGAAGAAGTGAGGTTCTTAACTTTAGAGGTAAGTGAATTTTTGTAAGATAAAAATTAAACCTGGATAATGAAGGACAAGCTCGTGAGGAACAACAAGGCGATTAAACAAACCACCAGCTTCCTTTCCTTGTCAAGGCAGAAAATGAAATAAAAATCATTGTTTTATACATTTTTATGAAGCATATCTGGGTCCTGACAAATTTTTCCACACTTGTTACTCTACAGAATTTTAAATAATCCTGACTTTTTGTATTTACTTTTTTCTATATGGTTTATGTTATTTAATATTTTCATTAAATTTTGGAAATTGTTTTTAAAGATTTATTTAATTTTCGATTGGGAATCAAACTCGTGACTATTCACTTGCAAGGTGAAAGCTCTTCCCTCCCACATGCAACAACAAAATTAACTCAGTACTGTACACTATTGGGTGAACTTATTGATGGTGGAATAATCCTTCAGTGAACTATGCAGGCTGTGTAGATTATGTGGAACATATACTTTTATAATTACTTGTCCGGATATCTTTTTTTTTTACTTACCCTAACAAATTTTTGGAGGTAATTTGCTTCCCCAGACTTTTTTTTATGGGAAAAGTTAAATAAACATCTTAAAACATTCAAATTTATTGTGTGTATCAACTCACAGATCATTTGTGTCTGTCTAAATGGTGTCAGTGACAGTAACCCTTGCCATGTGATGTCATAACTCCTGTCACCTTACCTCACCTCACATTTGTAGGGGGTTAAGGGAGTTGGAGGCAGCACCTGTGAACACCTACCCTAACTGCCATTCACCCTCCCTCTGCCTATAATCTGGTGTCAGTGATGCTAATATTTGTCATATAAGGTTATAAATCCTATCACCTCACTTCTACAGCCTCTCAACTTGGTGGTTCCATTGAAATGTTGACAAGTTGACTGTTTGACTAGGGGTGGGTTGGTGGCTTAATGCAGAAGTAGACTACCTGCACCTGATATACAGTAGGTCACTCATCCTGGTACACTGATGACGTCCCTGGTTAAACATGTATGGGGAGGTGGAGTTACACAGCGCCTGACAAATTTCCGTCGAGGTAATCATCTTGAAGTACAGGGTATTAGCTTGTCTGCCTGGCAAGTTCCGGGTACATGGACATAAAAAATCACTTACCCGAGCATATTAGGCACTGCTAATCTGCACAGCCTGTTACTACATTACTGTAGCATCCTGCCAAGGTGATAGGAGTAATTCACTAATTACTGCATGTTAAAAATCAGTCCAGCCTGTATCATTGCATAAAATAGGCTTATACTGTACAGTATGAAGAAAATTTAAGTACTGTATTCAAATATTCAAGAAGATTTATTGTTCACTAACCTAGGTTTTAAGCTAAATGATAATAATGACTTTTATTATCACTTCAAGGCGGGTAAAGTACTGCTTGTCCCAACTCCACGTCTGCGTAGTGGTCTGTTTAACCGAATGGAAGGCCACGCCTCTGAAAATAAAGAGAATCTTAGAGTAATGGCACAGACAGAAGGCATGAAGAAACACTCTAAGCCAGTGGGTCTTGACATGGGCATTAGCGTCGATCTTATTGTTATTGGCTCGGTGGCAGTGTCACGAACAGGTAAGATGCGAGAATATTTGTGTGAGTAATTTCTCTTGTTCATAAAAGCACCTTGATATTTTTATATTCATCTTTTTTTAAGTATGCTGTAAATTTAATATTAATTAATTAATTACCAGTACTGTACACTCTAATGTCTATTACTGTATACATAATACAGTATTATAGAAATAATATTGAGGAATTTACATCTAATACTGTAAGTAATTTAGATTATCAGTAATTTATCATTTTGAAGATAGGTATAGAATTATGAAATTAAAAAACACCCAGCACATATGTTTGTTTTCTTGAAAAGTAGAATGTTAAGGGAAAATTCAGAGGCATGCATTACTGAATAAGTATATTTATTGAGTAGAGGCTGGTTTAATGGTACAGGATAAGGATGTGTTTTCTTGCCCTAGTTTATTGTGTATATTGGTGTGATAGTGCACAGTATTAATGTAAAGAGGAGAATACGGTGTGTTGTAACTGCCAGGCTGCTTTATACTTGCCTAGGATGATGGGATAATGTGAAATAATGTGGCAGTCTGAGAAAATGATAACCTGAATTGAAGTGCTGAATAAGCAACAGCTGTGAGCGAAGAATTTGTGAGAATGCAAGAAAAGGAAATTAAATAGTGTATGATTATCACCAAAAACAAAACATGAAGTTAGGAGAAAGGGTTGTGGAGTTATGAGGATGATCAGTACAGTACAGGTTGGGTATCCATCCAAAATTCTTGGGGCCACGAGGGTCTCAGAATTGGGATATTTTTGGATTTTGGAATACCTATACAGTATCCTGTAGTACACAGAACCTGTATAATGGGTAGCTCACCCAGCAGGGATGGGGCCCAAGTCTATGCACAAAATTAATTTATATTTAATTTACAGCATATGAGCATGTGGATTCATTACATATACAGTATTTTGCAGGTAGTTTTATGAAATATAATTTAATCATTTTGGGTATAAAATATATGATAAGATGTACTACAATGAACGACAAAAGTCGTGTCGTGAAATTTGGTGAAAACATATGCCGAAGGGCTAATATTTTGGTGCGCTCTGCCTTGTGGTAGGGCTCTTATAATGTTTCATGGGTTATATTTAATCTTCAGACAAAACCACGACACGACTTTTGTCGTTGATTGTACACTAAAGACCCAGAAGGTTAAGCAATCACTTACCAACTGTTTGGCATCGTCATGACGCCTGACTCTGAGGCACTAAGTAGCCTGTGTCTTACCTTTATTCATTACACATACAGCATAGACTTACCCGAGTAAAAATTATGATATTTGCCATATTCAATGTCTTATCTATCATAAATGCAATGAAATAGACTTTCGGATTTCAGAGCATTTCGGACTTGGGAATTATGGATAAGGGATACCCAACCTGTAATAGAAACAGTCTTGGACATAGGACCTTTTTCTAATGATTAGCAAAGTATGTAGATAAAACATTGAGGTAACTTGGTTAACTAGGAACCATGGAGGTGACTTGGCCAACTGGAAACCTTGGCTTTAAATCGAATGATTTAAAAAGAAGTGTTTGAGATGAGTAGAAACTAACAAAAAGAAGGTTTCTGGAACACACAGTCAGACAGTTACTACATCTGACAACCCTAAAACAAAAGAAGTTTATAAATCAAGAAACACAGATTATTCTGCATATTTTAGAGGACTGCAATTTTGATGCAGAATTTTTCCAAAGTGCCCAGTCTTAGAAAAACTCACTTGTGATTTTTATAAGAAAAATATTCTTAGTAAGATTATGATCACCTGAGAAAATAGTGTGAGAAATCCATACACAGTCATAAATTATGTTCTCTATACTGTAGGTTTTTTTGAGTTTCCATGGATAAGGTAATGACATACAGCACTGTTCTGTAACATTGTAAAGCTATAATAATGAAAATTATGTTTTTTTTATGTACAGTATTGTATGCAGTTCTAATTATAAATTGTAAGCTAACTTGACTAGAATATGTATATACAGGTAATTTTTTTATTTATACATGAAGTCAACATTTAAACTTTATTTTGGTATTTGTTTTAGGAAGAAGAATTGGTAAAGGGGAAGGATTTGCTGACCTAGAGTATGCCATGATGAGGACGGTGCGAGCAGTTGATGACTCCACTCCTATTGTCACAACTGTTCATGATTGTCAGGTTTGGTTTTAAACTTAATGTTCCTGAAGTTCTTATCCTTCTGCCGCTCTAGGTTCAGGATACTTAAAGAAAAAGCAGTGAGAGTTTTTATAAAAATGGTATTTGTCATTTTATTTATTTTTTAATGATAAATTGTAATGTATGGTACAGTACTGTCCTGTGAATAACTTAGACAGTGAGATGTTCTAGATCAGGGGTTCTTAACCTGGGGTCCATGGACCCCCAAGGGGTCCATAGATGGGCTTCAGGGGGTCCGTGAAGGTCAGATAAAAATTTAACATTCATATTCACTGAATGTTTTCCGTTCAGCATGCAACTGGATGAAACTACTGACGTCTCTCAGTGCAGCCAGCTCCTGGTTTTCGTCCGTTATATGCATGCTGATGCCATCAAAGAAGAATTCCTATTTTGTGAGCCCCTTTTGGAAACTACAAAGGCCATTGACATCTTAGAAATGGTGAATAGTTTCTTTGCCAAGCAAAACTTCGACTGGAAGAAAAATCTTGGTACTCTGTGCACAAATGGAGCACCTGCGATGCTTGACAACACATCTGGTTTTGCTGCTTTAGTGAAGAAAGAATCTCCTCAGGTCATCGTGACCCATTGTTTTCTACATCGGCATGTATTGGCCTCAAAGACTCTGCCAGCAATTCTGAAAGAAGTCTTGTCTACTGGCATGAAAGTCGTCAACTTCATCAGAGCCAGGGCTGTGGACCATCGCGTTTTCAAGAGGTTTTGTCAAGAAATGGGAGCAGAATATGAAGTTCTTCTCTACCACACAGAAGTTCGCTGGCCTTCCAGAGGACAAATCTTGAAGCGCTTGATTGAACTTCGAGCAGAAGTTTCACTTTTTTTGAGAGAAAAAGAAAGCCCACTCTCAGTACAGTTTGACAGTGAGGAGTTCATTCATGACTTAGCCTACTTGGCGGATATTTTGGCCATATGAATGAGGTGTATCTTGCGATTCAGGGCCCTGGAGTCACCATTATGGATGCTGCTGAAAGACTGCAAGCTTTTCTGGCCAAGCTGCCACTGTGAAAGAGGAGGTTGGAGGCAGACAACTATGCAAACTTTCCAATGTTAGAGGAAGTGCTTCTGCAGGATGGAATCGAGAGTGACAAGGCCCTGTCAATTTCTCTGCAGGCAGAATTCTGCAGACATCTGGATACTCTGCAGAACTCTTTCAAAGGTTACTTCTGCTCAAGTGACCTTAAAGTTGAAACGTGGATTCGTAATCCTTTCCTTGCCGACTTAGACTGTATCAGTGATGAAGACCTTGCCAAAGATGACCTCATTGACCTGAAGAAAAAGGAAAAGTTTCGAAATGAATTCAACTTGAAGAGCCTTGGAGAATTCTGGTGTGCGTTGACACAAGCCTACCCTTGTCTGGTAAAGCGAGCTCTGAGTGCTCTGATTCCGTTTGCTACTACATACCTTTGTGAGTCAGGGTTTTCAGCACTTGTTTCTATCAAAACATAAAGTCGAAATCGATTGGATGTCAAAGATGACATGCGTGTTACCTTGTCAAAGACCACTCCACAGTTTCATCTTCTTATTCAAGCCAAACAACAACCTTCTCATTGAAATGATTTTTTGAGCAGAATTAAAATTTTGTTTTGTTTAATTTGCACAAGATGATTGTATTTCATTTTTGTCTGGAGTGGCCATGAATTTTTGCATAAAAAAGTGTGAAACATAATTCTTTGTTAAGATTGTTTACTTTATTCATACTTTGTGTATGTCATACACTGTATGAGGCAATGAATTTTCAATGAAATAAAGTATATTCATTGCATGCAAAGTTGTGCTTATTTGTATTTTTCTAGGGAGGGGGTCCATAGCTTTCACCAGATTCTCAAAGGGGTCCGTGACTCAAAAAAGGTTAAGAACCACTGTTCTAGATGGAGTTTGGATAAGTGATGTTAATGAAAATATAAGAATTACAAGTAATGACTAAATTTAGAATACAAAGTGAATTAATATGAAATACTGTGAATTAGTGTTGAGGTTAAAAAAGGATCCATGTACCCTGTACTTTATACTACATTCGGAAGTGGAGGATATAAACAGTTCTGTGCTTTTACAGTTATTATTCTATTTAATGCCCAAGCCTTTTACTGCCACTTTCTTCATCTAATATATATCTTTCCCCTAGTATAGTATTTACTCCCTTTTTGAGATTATCTATCCTTTGATTCATCTCACACCAAATTGTGAAAGGAGCAAAGATAAAGGAGAGAGAAACTTTTCTGTTAATTTATTATATATTTCCTATTCCTTAGGTCTTTGATGAACTACCTAGCCGTCTCTTTGGTCCCCATGATGTTCCTGTTGATTTCATTGTCACCCCGTCTGAAGTCATCCAAGTGAACCACAGTCTACCAAAGCCAGAAGGAATCTACTGGCATCTTCTCTCTCCAGAGAAATTTCGACAGGTCCCCATTCTGAGGGTTCTGCGTGACCAGGAACACGAGTATGTAGGAGATATTTAAAAAAAATAAAATAAAATTAATACATGTCTTATTTTATAGAAGTTTAATGTCTTTTTCTTGTAGAATTTCATTATTATATTTTTTAACATTACAAAGGAGTTAATAAGAGCAAAAATTTGTCTGGAAAGAATGAAATTGTGAGGCATGGATCAGGTGGTGAGCAGTCACCTCAGACTTGTGTCTGCTGCCCTGTGTGAATGCCGAGACGTCTCATTGGGGGAGGGAGTGTGGATGGCGAGTCGATGGCGCAGATACAGCCCACTGACTCCACACAGACGTTCACTACACACACACCCATGCTCTTTATTTTTTATTTTTATATTATATTTTCTTTGTTTCTAAGACACATTGGAGTACAGTATTGTAATGATTTTTCCACAACTTTTGTGGTTTCATTACATATGTTTGGAAGAGAACTTCCTACCTTAAACTTGATCTTTGGTCGATAAGATGCAGGGTGATTTAAAGGACTTTTTAAGGGAAAAGGTGTCTCTTATGGGCTGAAAAATACAGAATTTTATTTATTTGTTTAATTATTTTTTAATCATTGTCAGTGTTACAATTTGGAGATAATCAAACCAAAGTTGGCATCAGACTGACTGACAAGTTATGATTAAGATCAGAGTTATTTACATGTCTTTAACACTTTAGTTTTTACTTGTTTTATTTGTTTTTATTTTATGATTTTAATTTTCCTTTTTCAGTGAGGGGAAGGATGTTACTTTAGCAGAAGGAGCTGATCTACCCTCTGTTGAAGAACTGAGAGCCAGTGGTCGTGGACGTGGTGGTAACCGAGGAGTTCGTGGAGCACGTGTTGCTGGCAGAGGCAGAGGAGCTGGTCGAGCAAGAGGCAGATATATATCTGAAGGTGAAGACGGTAAAGGACAAAAAAATATTCAGGTGAGAAAATTTTCTCCAAAAGTTTCCACAGGTTTTATTTATTTTTTTATTATAGTCACTTAGAAAATAAGGATTTAGGCAGCATGAATGAATAGACCAGCTAACATTTTCTCCTTTGAGTTAGACATTAGGATAAAATATCATTGTCACTACTTCTGCCATTTAATTGTACCTCTGCTTTTCTTTTTCACAGGAACTATTTGTAAGAGTATAATGAAAATTTTTACATATGCATAGTAATAAAAAAGAATGTAACCATGTTATTCACCAATATTAGTGATGAGATCATTAATCTGTCAGGTCAGGCATGCACTCTGAGCTATCTTTGATTACCTAGATGGATGCCACACTTAGCTTGTGGGACATAGAAGAGACATACAGTATGGTGTATTAAATATCTTATATATGACTTGCTGTGATCTGATAATTAGATTGTTTATTCACATATAGTATCCAACTAAGGTCACAATTAATGTGAGCAAGAAGAATCGAATTGTAAGGAGGACTGTAGAGGCAACCCATGAACATGATCGTCTGGGCTCTGCTGACCTAGATGATGAAAACCAGGAACAGATGGGAGGTATGAAGTCTCAACGTCCCAGAAAACCTCGCCTTCCTGTGACATATGCTGTGTTCCTTGGCAAAGTTCCTCCAGCATGCAGGTAGGTTTAAACTGAACATGATTTATTATGTCAGTAACTAGAAAATGGATGTTGAATTTTTTAAGAAAAAATACATGTACGGTATAGAAATACAGTACATGTACCCTGTATAAGGTTGTGTCTATATGTATTGGGGGCTTTGGAGGGATAAAGACTGTTTATGTGAGCTGTAGAAGTTATGTCGGGTATACACGAATTCTGGGTGTTAAAGAACGCATTCTTAATTTTATTGAACATAATTCACTTTGATGGAGAACAATTCCTCATGCTGAACCATGTTCTTTATTAAAGGTCCACTATAGATATTTACATACAAAAGTGAATAATTAATTTTAAGTAACCTACAATGTGGTATAAATTTTATATACAGTTAACCCTTGTTGTTCGCTGGCGTAAGGTTCCATGAACCCTCGCGAAGTCACAATCTGTGAATAGTATTAGCAGTCAAAGTAGTGTATGTTTGTGACACTTGTGTCACCCATAAACACAGCCAAATATGATATTTCAGTATATTTTTCTTTAAATACACATACTTTGTTAAAAACCCTTAATAAAACAATGAAATATCTTGCAACAATATACTGTACTGTCCATACTGTCTGTACTATACTATATAGTTGTACTAAAACAGTTTGTACAAGAACATTGTTTGAGATGCTTGAGTCACCCATAAACACAACCGAATACAGTTTGGTATTTCTGTATGTTTTCTTTACATACACGTACAATGGTGAAAAGCATTATCAGATAGAACAATGAAATCATACAATATACTGTACAGTAAGTATAAAATAAGAAAAAAATAAGTGAAAAGGGAATTGTGTGTGACTGTATGACAGGTGGCTGAGCTAGACCCAATAGAAATTTCCAACTGCCTTTACAATGACAGTATGCAATTTCACCATAATTCCCATATTATTTAGGTTCATTTGATAATGGGTTAATGAAATATTATTGTAATATAATAAATTTTCATAAAAAAATACCACCCTGCTCTAGATGAAGTATAGAGTTTTGCATAAGGGAACAGCTGACCAGTCAGCAAGCCCCGGCATCCGCCTGTCTTTTATTTATTTACGTATTTATTTATTTATTGATATAATAGTGTCACCCAGAGGATGATTATGAAAAGTGAAGGAGCTGTTTATGTAATATACTATTGTACTATCTTTTTATCTCTTAACTAATATACTGAATACTGTACTGTACAGTATATACGTACAAGTATATCTTTTATTATTATTATTAAAAAAAATTTTTGTAGGGGGTATGTACTGCAAATAGTCGAAGCCACAAACTGTAAACCCGCAAATGGCAAGGGTAAACTGTATATTAGATTAATTGTACAAAGATATTGATGGTTAAATATTTGATTCCAGAGTACGTGAACTTAAAGATGCACTGCAGGATCGTAGTGTCAGACCAATTGACATCACATGGCGGGGCCGCAATGGGTTTGCTTTCTTGCGTTTCACAGGCCCTACTGAAGACTGTGATAATGTTCTAGAGAAGCTTGATGGATTAACCCTGCTAGACCAACCAGTGGTAGTGGAGCGAGCAAAAGATAAGGTTGTGGGCAAAGAAAATGATGAAGATGGCAGAGATGGGGTAAGGTTGTAGAATTAGATTTTCATGAAATATCAGTAAGTAGGAGTTTTAGGTTACAAAGTCATCAAAAGCTTTAAGTTTAGTACTCTAAATCACCCAATTTAATTTGTAGTAGATGACAAATGAAGATTGTCCAACATCCGTTAATGTGATAGATCGAATGCATTTCTATTTTACGGGAATAGAATGATCGTTTTATTAAAATTCAAGCTTGATATCGTTTTAAAAATAAAATATTACTTCTAGTTTGATAAATAAAAGTGTTAACTAGTGAAAATTGTATGAATTGCAGAACAGGAACCATACAATGCTCACAGAGTAGTTTCAGTAGACGGTAGGCTGCCTATAAAATTTGGAACCTAATGTATTTTAAATGTACTTTTGAGGTTGGTAATAAATGCCTTTTAGATTGTACAGTGTATTGTTTTAACTGAGGATTTTATTGTATCTCGCCCCAGTATTACTGTGAGGATGATGAAGCTGAAGAGCGTGTTGCTCCTCGCAAGCCACAGGTACCTAGAAAACCCCGTCTTCCTATTACTTTTGCTGTGTTTCTTGGAAAAGTTCCTCCTGCTTGCAGGTGAGTGAATTGAGATTAATGTCTTTTTAGATGTATGTAATGTGTATTTGTAATTATTTTTTATATTCTGACTGAGTCACCTTTTTATGTGAGAGCTTTTCAAGAGGCAAACTCACCTGCATGGTTGATGTTCACACTATTTTTTAATGATATTGCCTTTAGTAGTAGGGTAATTTACAAGGATACCTAGTAGACTCCATTATTTCCCTTAATGATATTGTTTTATTGCAAATTCTTTACTGTTTCAAATTGGTGGGTTTTTTTTCAAGACTATTTTTTCTTGTTTTCTTTTAATAAAACATACATTTTTGTCCTTTCCTTTGTCTCAATAAATACATTTTTACTGATATATTTTTAGGTAAACTTCATTCTCTACAAAAACTTTTATGATTCTTGAAATCAGAGGAACATAATGTCATTGCTTTCTCTTTGTCCTGTATATTGTGTCCACTTCATAGCATCATAAACTGTAGAGTAATTTGGCTGAAGTTTGACACAAATGTGTATTTAATTAAAATGAAACGCAGTGTGCACATTTCTCAAGCGACAAGATGTTTATGGTACTGACAGTTACTGAAAATCAACCAAAAGGATAAAGGAAGATTACCTATACATACCATTCTGCTTTAATTGTTGCATAAAACTTTACATTGATAAAACTTTTGTTGTAAGTAGGAAGAGAATATTGAAGTATATGGATATGTGTAATAGATTATCTCAACAACGTTGTGTTTGTGGATATCATAGTAACCGGAAGTCTTACTTTTACAGAAACTTTCATCCAAGCTCTATAGTAATTTTGTTGAGAATGTGTAGATCACTGTCATTGGAAGATAATTTGTTTGCATTAAGCTGCAAACTTGCTTTAAGATGTCTATTTATTACACCTCATTTTATATGAGTTTGTTGGCATTGCAACCATTTACATGATTCATAATTTCAGAGTGCGAGAGCTTAAGGAAGCCCTCCAGAATCGTGAGGTTCAGCCAGTTGACATAACATGGCGTGGTCGCAGTGGGTTTGCCTTTTTACGTTTTACAGGACCAGTTAATGAGTGTGACGATGTCTTGTCAAAGTTAGAAGGCTTAACTCTTCAGGATCAGCCAGTAGTTGTTGAGCGAGCTAAGGACAAAGCTGAAGAAGAAGAAGAAGAACAGGATGGTGATATGGGGTGAGGAAAAGTTAGTACAGTATCTCTGGGGACAGGGAGGGCAGTGTGTCTGATAGTGTTGGGAAGATAAACTTTAGTGATGTTTAGTGTGTGAATCTGCATTGAACTGTCTTGTTTCACTCAATACCTATGCATTAAAAATAGGAGCATCAGCTATACATATGAATAAATATATATATTAATATAAAGACCACAATCATTAAGTTTCTATGAGGAGAATTTGAACTGGAGAGGCTTTAACATGTCACCAGTAATTATAGAGGAGTAACTTATAGTCAGGAACTGTAGATAGAATATAAAAGTTGTACTAGTGAATAAAAGTCTTAGTTTTTAATAAATTGTTATGAGAAAGTTTCTATTAATTTAGTAAATAGTGTATATTTATACATTTATTATATTTAAGCTATAACTTGCACCAAGAATATTGTTGAAACTATGTAAACTTCCCTGGACAGGTTAATTCATTTCTGGATTTGACCTCAATTTTACGCTTATGAAAATATGAAAATGCAAGAGTGTCGGAATGTAGTAGAATACCCCATGAACACCCAGACATGGGAGTCTGAAACACACTTGCACATTACAACCACCTCTATTCTCTATACTGTACATGCTCATGCACACACACGTACACTCACTAAAAGATTATTCTGCACCTTTATGGGATTATACTATATGACAGACCGGACCAAGAAATCTGATAACACTCATCACGGCTTCTGTCGCAGTGATTGTTGCGGATGGTTTCAGAGCCAAGGGTGCACAATATTTTTCTTAGTGAGTGTACACACACACACACACATACATGTCCACACAAATACATGCACAAAGTGTCAAAGCTTCCTTCCATCTGCTCTTTATAAAAAACTCTCAGCTTATGAACACAGTACCCTGTATTACAAACTGCTGTATCATCATGTCTGTACAATTTCATATTGAATCATACACTATACTCAAACATGCATATCTGAATTAAGAATTTTATGAAATTTTATAAATTGTCTCTCAAAAAGTTAAACTGAATAATTTCCCATGACAAATTAACTTAGGGAGACTGTAATTGTGCTTGTTGTTAGCAATCTTAATTGTGAATTTATCTGTCTGAAGTCCTGGAAGTTTCTAGTTAAATGAGTATTGAAATTTTGCTGCTGTGTTAACATAAGTACTTGACCAATTGATAAAAAGTGAGCTTGAGGTGAATTATTTATATTCAGTCATCACACTCTTAGATGCCACATACCCAGGTTCTCATTAATAGCTGGTTGGTAATGCATTGGAATGACTACTAAATTGGCCCACATTCTCGATTTTTTCTTCTCTTTTCCCCCTTGCATGCCATGGCCTTCTATGCTGTAAGTAAGCTGGAAGCAGAGGAGACTCCCTTCATTCAGTATCATACATTTTCTCTCAACCCTTTACTTAATTCTGACAGAAAATTTTGAATTAAATTTATTGGCCTTAACTGATTTTTAATAATTTTGTAAAACAGTTGTGGTTTAGAGCTGTCTTTCATGCATACATTTAGTGATAAAAAATTTACTATGGTACTTTTTTTTCCAAATTGAACAGTTACTTGCTGATTAATGAGAACCTTGCATATCCAGAAAGCCCTTGGAACTTGGTACCCTCCAGTAGTTCACACTTAAGTTCATGCCACTGCTCACAGAAGTGTTATTTTTAATATGGATATACTGTATATTATGACATCCAGTATGGGCTTCATCAGATGCGTATTAACAGTTAGTTGTGTTAAATACATAAAATAAGACTTTGTATTTATATTCGTAATTTACACTAAGAGTATTTTACAATGTGCCTCTTTAGGTTCACTTATTAATTGTAAGTTTATTAATCACATGACAGAACTACATATGTTTAATGAATAAGTAAAATCTGAATTACATTTAAAGCAATTAATTCCAGAGGTGAGAAGCTGTGCTGTAATTAAGGGTAAATAGAAAGAATGCCAGTGCTTTCAAAACATTACACAAACACACGTTATTAATTATGAATAAGCTTTAGAATATATAAAAACTATTTGAAGCTTTTTCATTTTAGTAACTTAACATAATACTGTACTGTATTACCTGTTACTCAAGAAATACTCTGAAATTTTAATACATTATAGTTTATTTTGCATAAGAAAATGTTTTTTTACCATTAAGTAATCACATAATCTCTGCATTTAAAGAAACACTTTTAAGAGTAGTACAGTAGTTGTGATTATTGTTATAAGTGCAGAACCATTCACACTCATGGAACATAATTGTAAAAAAAAAAATACAAATTTGATATCATTCAAAACTTGTAAACTATATTGTAAAGAGTTCCATCAGATTATTTCTGGTAATTTTTAGGTGACTGGTCTTTTATATGGTAAACTTGGATATACAAGTGATCCATCTCACATGAATCTGATGATATATTGTAGTCTTACTGATAATACACCATCAGTAAGATTGCTCTATTGAATTTGTCTACCCGGTAATATAGAGTGTCTTGGAAACACTCCTCTTCTGTAATCACAATGTGTATGTTTGTCTTATTTTATAGCTGCAACTGTTTTGTCATGTACAGCATTAATCCAGATTAATAATACATGCCTCTTTATTTTATGCCTGACATTTAAGAAGATAACTGTTTGGGAATATAGTAACATAACTTCTATGTTTCATATTGATGGTAATGACAGAAATAATTATTTTCTACAACATCTTTCCTGGAGTATCTTTGACTGAACTTTGCAGTAGCTGCCAATCATACATGGTCTAGATAAAGTATCAGAACATCATTCATTAACTGTGCTTTTGGATCAGCATGAAATTCCTTGCCTTATGCATGTGTCGTTGGAGTGCAGTATACTGTATATCTAGTTTGTATGGCAGTGCAGCATTGTCGAGTGGCTTTCTTGCCACTTCAGTGTTGGCATACTTCAGTAAATATTCAGTACCTTTGATTAGATCTATTTCCTTGCCAGGACAGATTTAAGGTTGACAAAGTTTTTACATGAATTTTGTGGGTGTGAGCAACAGTACAATATTTGTTATATTGCTTATAACATTGAACTAAGTGATAAGTTGATTGTCGACAATTGATGAGCTATGAAGCCTAAACTTTAACTAATCTTATTGAAATGCATTTTATATTGATAGGCCAGGCTGGCTACAATTCTTGTTGATCATTAGAATGGTGATACAATATAGTGCCTGATTCATTTTGTAACCATGATATATTCTTACATTTCCTCTTCAGATGATTGTAGCTTTAATAGTGTAAGGATGAAAAAAAGACCTTTAGTTTCAATTACTTTATATTAGTTTCTTTTTGTGAAGAAGTTAGATTTCTAGTGGCTTCTTTAATTTTTTCAACCTTATGAAGTTGTAATTATTACAATTTGGGAAGTACTGTAGTTATTAAATTTTAGACTAAATCCGTGAATCCAACATGCTCTGTTTGCACCCCCAGCACTGTCAAGACAATGTAAGACTGACACAGCAGTCCACTGGTCATGTACATACAGTGCCTAACTTCTCTTATAGTATATTGTACTATTTTAATAAATTGAAGTATGATTTTAGTAGACATATGTTCAAAGAACAGGTTTAATTTTTGGATGTTTGCCATTTGTTTTTTATTTTTCTCCTAGTACCCATTACTCACAAGAAATTTTGCCTGAAAGTATGAAGAGGTTGTGGCTTTTAGCAGTACTGTACCAGGCATACTGAAAACAACCAGATTGACTGTAATTTACTACGTATAAGTCTATCTCTATGCAGATAAACCTCAAGATATATAGGTAGCAACTTTTTGTTCTGTGTGCTTTAATAGAATGGTGTTGGTTGATATGTAATCCATATAATGAAGGATATTTATCTTAGAAAGCTTGCAATACTTTTCATTACAAATGGATTTTAGCTATCATTTATCATTTGTGAAATTTTTTTATTGATGTATTTTTATGCCTCAAGTACACATGCCATGGAAGCATTTTGATTCGCTCCCATATCTCTGTCCGTCCCACCCAAAGTTGTTAGCAAAATGTACCCAGAATATAGCATTGAAATTTTGCAGGCTTCTTTACAGGTATATTTGAATTACCTGAAGAGGTTCTATACTGTAGATTTATTTTTTTGCCCCATTGAAGGCATGCGTGTTCCACAATTTTACTTTATTTATTTATTTTTTTTTATGCTTATTGGATATTACCAAGTTTCAAATACTCACCTTGTACTGGTACTTGTACACTAAGTGATATGAGTAATGTATAATTTGGCAGTTACCAGATATGTGATTCTTCACTTTCAAAGTCCTAGATATTTTCTTTGTCAGGTTGAATGCTCCTGAAAAATATATTCAAAGGTAGCAAAGCAATTGGCTGTTGCTTAAGAACCTCAACCTCTTCATTTTTTTGGCAGTTGGGTCTACTCTAGTCTAAGGAAAGTGCTGAAAGGATTTGTTGGTTGTGGTGGTGTGTTTACTGGGGAGAGTTCAGGCACCTCAAAAGTTTGATACTGTACTGTATAATGTGCCCTTAATGAGCTGTTTTAGAAATTGCAAATACAGTATGTATAAGCTTTTACCTTGGTTGAGTAGGAATGTAAAGTTGCATGAAATCATGTGTGAATTATGGTAGAAATGCAAGAAATATCTTTTAATATAATTTTAGACCAAATATCTTGCACCACACTTACAGCCAGGTATATTTATCATGTTACAGGTTACTCATTTTCTTCTGGAATATTAATAATTCATTGAAAATCATCCTTTCCATTGTGATACTCTTGATTCTCACCAAGTAAAGAGTGTTAGAAGTAAATTGGACTTTTAAGGAACCGAACTCTCCTCAAAAAATTTGTGTGCATTTGTTGAAGTGAATGGTTTACCAGTGTGTGATTTATGTTTTTGTAATTTATAATGCAAGCATTGCTTATATGCATTTAAAAGCTTTGGATATTGATTTCCTTCATGCCTCTTTGAATTATAGGATGTTCTTCCCTTTCCAAAACATACAGTACTCATTCTTGGAAAGGGAAGGAAGAAGGTCCTGCTCCCAGTCAGTGTAATGTGAGTCAGGTAGTTACATGACTTGCTGCTACATTACATTGTTCATAATTATACTGTGACTCATTTTTTTCCTTCCATAGAGGAAAGGAATTTTCCCCAAAGCTTTACATTTGTTCTTCTGAAAACAATTATTCCACAACGCCTAATAATATAGGATGGGAATGTTTATTTTTTCAAATTTCTTAAATCTTTTGACCTTTGAAAATGTGGTTTTAATTATTCCTTCTTGGTGTTAACCTTTATGCATAGGTATAAAATTTTTGAAAAGAATTGCCATTGGCTTCTCTGATGCTCCTCCTAATTTCTCTTCTGCAAACACTTTTTTCTTAGAACTGAGATGGTACTTAGGGTTTGTGCTTTACTTGAAAATAAAGGTGTATTCTTTGCTACTGGACCAGTGTTCTGTATTTCTCCATGATGTACAAGAAACTATTGTGTTCTCTTTACCTAGGACATTAAGTCTAAGAGTTGTATTTAAAATGAAATAATGACTTCTTCATAGTCTGCTATTTAGTACTTCAAACACAAAAAAGCAGCTGCTTTTTTTATTATATAAGTATGGCCTGCATAATACCATTTCTGTGAATTCAAATTTGCTTTGTGAAATCAGTATTGTATTTACCTGCATTTTTTTGTATTATAGTATGACCCTGAAACAATGATGATAAGCCATTCATGCAATATCACTTGTGAATAAGTTGTTTACTATACAGTGGTCCCTCGATTAACGAACACAATTGGTTCCACAGAGTCGTCTGTTCCAACTCACAGAAAAAGTATACATACAAATTACTGTATACCAGTAATAGAATTAACAAAACATTAAATATGAACTAAATACAGTACTGTGCAATAATAAATAAAAAGCAATAGAATACTGTATTTTAACTTACTTTGAGGTGTGTATGTTGTATTCCCGGCACCTTTGTTTACATATCAAACGGCTGATTGTAGGGGCAGTCAATGATGACATGCCATATTCTTTATAGAGTGCATTGGTTCTAATGCCTTCTTTGTGTTTCATAATTTCTGCACTGTATATTATCAATATGTTAACTAAATTTCAGAATGACCAATAATTTTAATATAAAAAATGCAGAAATATTCAAGAGACCAACTTTCTTGATATTTACTCCACTGGAAACAACTGTAAACATAGAACTGGCTGATCAGCTGATGCGCACAACAAAACATGTTTTTCGTAAGGCTTTCGTTAATCGAACTGAAAATCCTTATGGGAGCCAATTCGTTAACCGAAATTTCGTTAATTGGACCGTTCATTAATTGAGGGACCACTGTATTTCAAAGGAGCTATTTACTAGAACACTTAATGATGTAGTGCACTTAGAAGTCTGTACTGGTGTAACTGCAATATTAGCAAAGTTATTTAAGGTCTGAGAGAAGTGAAGCAAAGAGCTTTGTGGTTGGGTAGGTTTGGTAGAGGGCTGATGTAGGTGTATGGGTGTAACAGCACCTGCAGTAGGTGGGCGGTGAGTGGATGGTGGTAGGGAATGGAAAGGGTATCTGACAAAGACATTAGTATTTGTTGCTGTGTGTATGATTTAATAAAATGAAAAGAGTATGCAAAAAGAAATACATACGAGTAAAAAAAGGAAGTGTGTTAAGAAACAGTTAATAAAATAATGAATGAAGGAAAAGGGATGGAACCAGAGTACATTATGCTTCATAGTGAAATAGACAAGTTTTGGATTGTAACTTAGAAGCTAAGATTAGGAAAAAAACATGTGCGAAGGTAAAAATAGATGCTAGGTAGAGTACCTTCACAACATTGATGAATACTCGTAGATATATCTATGCTGTACGTATACCAGAAACTGCAATATATACAGGAAAATCAATGTAAAAGGTTAAAGATGAACATGAATACACTGTACTTAAAAAAGTATTTCCATTCATTAAGGATATGGGTGAAGCAATATTATAAGCTGTGGGTGAGAATGAAATAAGGTACAGGTACAGGTATTGGAAACAGGTCACCTATCGTGAAATTTAGAGAACAGTACAAAAGGTAAAGTATGTTAATTGTTGAGTAATGATGTAGAAGGGAAGATGTGGAGGGGGATGGGATGATGCATTGTGTGACAGGTAGGCACTTTATTGGGCTTGAGTGGATGTAGTAAGTGTACCAATATACAAAGGGAAAAGTTTAAGAGAAGAAATATGATATCAGTAATAGGAAGTTAGACTTATTTTTTATTTTTGAACTAATTGTGCCCAAAATTAATGTGTTGGTGCCAAATTAGTAATTGTATTATTATTAAATGGTCATAGCCCTAGAATTTGTCTTGGGGTAATTTTTAAGGGGAATTTGAATACAGTACTTAATATTATTGTACCAAATTTAGATTGTTGCAGGGTCCTACTATCAAAACATTGCAAGTAATTTAAGATACCAAATACAATTTCAGATTATCAGATTTGATTCATAACAAAGATTGCAATCCATCCACGACATAATTGCACCATTACCAAAGTGGTTATTGTACAATCTGAAAACTGGTGCTATTGCTGCTAGAGTTAATCTGTATTTTGTATGATTAAACTTGATGGTAAAATATTTATTTGTTATCCTTATGAATAAAATCATTGGCTGTGATTCTAAAGCAATTTTATCTGTGTGCAAGTCTTACAAAATTATACTATATTTGAGGTAGCTAGTTGTTATGATGAAACTATTATCATATATAAGTTATTACTAAAATTGGTTTTCTGCATGGTTAATTTACTCACAATACGTCACCCTGTGCTGCTACTTTCAAAAAGATTTGGGAGCCATATCGCCATACACAATGATAATAGTACTGTGTTTAACATGTTTCATGCTTGCTCATAGATTTGATTGATATTATAATTGTTTCTCTTTACTACATTTGAATTTGTCCTTATTTCCTTGAGCTTAACTCCAAAACCACATTGTATGTCTTCAGGAATTATATGGCTTTAAATTACAGTTTATGAGGTTAGCTTTATCCATCTATCTATACTGTGCAGTATAAGATACTCTTTTCAGTTAACAAAACTGATCAATGTAAAACCTTCCTTATAAATGCCACAGTTGTAGTCTAATTTTCCATACACATGCATACAGAGAAAAGTATTAATATTAATAGTCCTCATACACACACTTCCACATTCTGTTCTCATACATATCCACTAGTTGTCCCCATCACTTATAATGATAAGTCCCCATGAAATGCCTTACTTACCAAACCCACCACTAGATTCTGTGGCGCACACATTATTCTAGCCATATCTATTCTGTCATGTGTTGTTTTTATCCAAATTCCATCACCTATGTATTTTTTATGAAACTTCCTAGAGAAGTACATTTGGTACCAGCAAGAAAGTAATCGGGTTACTGTCCATGACTTTGAATTAAAAGAAGGTTATTTTTAAGTTTGTAATCTAAATCTGAATCCCATTTGCCTTTTCCTTGGAGTACAGGAGGGTAAGATTGTGTAAAACTCCTCACTCCTGAAATTCATCTTTATACACTGTATTGTCTTTTCATGCAAATGTGGAAAATGACTATAAAATGATAAGGATGATAATTATTCTCTTTTATCTATAGAGTACTCACTCATCTCTCTTATTACAGTAGTTAGCCTTTTCTCTCTGCTCTTGTTCTACCCTTATATTAGCACTCCTTTAACTACTGCACTTCTACTTTTATTTCATTCTCTCTCCACTCGCCAAATTCCATCTCCATTATGAAAACACATTAAAGCTTCATGCAAGTTTCACACCTCTCTCCATCTTCAGCCCACCTAGCCACTTGAACTTCTTGCTCATTGTGATTCTTGTACTGAAGTATGCCAGGTCTTGTGAAATAGACATAAAACTCTGTTGTTTACCTTGTATCATGACATAAGATAGATTATGTAGTATTAGCACCAAACAGCATTAATATGATGGGGTACAGTAGGTAATGTTAGGCTGATATAGGAGTGGGTTTTACTCGTCATCTTTGCAGGGATTAGTCTTTAACCCCTTCACTATGGTGGCTCCACTTTTAGTATTTTATTCCACTCAGAGGGGGACCTGTACACAAATGGATAAGTACAGTCTCAGTCCATTATGTTAACTATGACTAGTCATGGGAGTTGCCTCCTTTCCCTCAGACACATCGAAGTGGGAGCTATTTTTCAGCCCTCTCACTTTGTTAATATATTACTGTACCCGCAATTCATTAATGTAAATCAGTTTTTTAGTTTGTCAGTACATAGAGTGTTTGAAATATGTAAGTACAATACTGTCCAGGTATTTGTTTCAATAGAGTTCTTCACAGTTATTTAAAATAATCAGGGCTGTATTGTATATGTTTTATTACCTCAAAACAAAAGGGATTGTTACAGTGTACCTAGTTTAGGAATACGAACTAAAGAATAATTGAGTAATGTGCTTAGGAAGGAGAACTAGAGAAAATATTGTATCTTAGGCATGAGAGTTTTGAGAGATAGAGCTTTAAGATTTTCTAAGAAATTTATAATGCATATCTTGAGTGATTTAAAAAAGAAAAATCATTGGGTTGAAACTCCATAAAATTGTTTATGATTTAAAAAAATAATAATTACTGGCAGCAGGAAAAATTTTTTTTCGTCACTTATCAGTCCAGCATTTGGTCGACTCACACTCGTCTCTCATCTGTTTTGAGCTGGGGATTGAACCCAGGATACAGTATGAGTGGCATGCATATTACTGCTGTGTCACCAGTTGGGTTAGGATATTTACCTAATGGCCACCCAAACTAGAGGTGATCATGCCAAAAGGAAGAAGGCCACTGGCCTGTATTGGATTCCTCTATTCTTCTTCATAGTCTTGTAAAGTATGCCAAGAAGTCCAAGGTTGTGGGTATTTCTAACATTGTGAGGTATGCATTCAGATTTTTTTGAAAATAAGATGAAAGAATAAAATTTAATGGTAAAGTTTTATTAATTATTCGATATGCAAATACTATTGCTCTTATTAAAGTAGTATATTTTTTCCAAGTTATATATAAATCCCAAAATATAAATTATGATAGGTAATTAGGAACTTATATGGGTGGATAATCTTGAGCAATTAGATACATTATCTGTGATGATAGATATGGAAAAAAAATGTAAAACAAGATTATGTCAAGCAAAAACAACATCTAATAATTTTAGAGACCAGTTAAAAGGTGAAAAATTTTAGTTTCAGAAAAAGGCTGCCGAGATGCAATGTACTGTGGTTGTACTATTCAATAATTTTCCAAGTTTTATATTAAAATTTTTAGTCATTTTAACACTTATTTAACAATTGCAGTACAGGAAACTAGTTTTTGGTGCACCCATCAGCCACTTGACTCACACAGCAAGGCGTTAGTTTGTATCTCTGGTCAGTGGAGGTAACATCTTGAACATAAACTTTTTACGTTTATACAGTACAGTACAATTATTGGTCATTCTGAAATTTATTTTACATATTGACAATATATAGTGCAGTGCAGTGTTCATTTAAAGAAAATAATCTTGAATTACACCTAGTGAGCTTAAAATTTTATGGGTGAAATGACGGCATGAAGCATGGGGTGATTTCTCTTCCACCCCCACTTCCTTCTCTTCTCCCTTCTCCACCACCCCCACTTCTATTTCCCATCATCATCATCATCATCATCATCAACCAGGAGCCTTCTACATACACACCTCAAAGTAAGTGTACTTTACTGCATTTATTTTTACTTTGTATGTAATTTTCGGTAAGCTGGAACCAATTACCCAAAATCCCATTGAAACAATGGTTTTGTTTAACGAATGACCTTCTGGAACGAATTGTGTTTCGTTAACCGAGGGACCACTGTACATGTACAGTATACAGGTGTACAGCTGGCTAGAGCAACAAAAATAGTACTACAGTAGTGTTCTGAAAAATATTGAAAAATTAATAATTTGGTCATTTAATTAGGGATGATGGAATAACAGTATACTATACTGTAAGTATTACAGGTTCCTGAGACTGCCAAGGACTGTCAGTTGATTTAGAGCAGGCATGGGAAACTTTTCCTCAGTCATGGGCTGCTTTATGATTTAGGTGTTTTTCTTTGAGCCAACCCACCAAAATTTATTTCCTACACACCGGTAAACCAAAAGTACGACCTGATCGGTGGTGAAGAGGATAAAATATTGTATTTGCACGGACAGTGAAACGGTTTATCGTTTCGTCCACCTTACTATATTTTCAATTTACAATCGGTCTTTTTCCCATTTATGAAACTGATCCATCATAATATTTTTTTCAAGTACAGTAGTATGTTAATGTTTCTTGGCATTTAACAGAAGATTTTTCCAAAGGTACAGCATTTTTCTTACTTATGAGACACACCCACCAGAATAGTGTCAGTGTTAATCTTGGTGCCTGAGGAACTACAATGAAACAACCTTTAGGCACCTTTTTTTATCTATTATTTTACATTATATATTTAAATATGCCCATGGAGAGACCGAATCAAACAAGAATAATAGATAGAACAGACAGCCTGGCATGAAGGATGAGGTACTATGGAGAGAGAGAGTCTGTCAACAAGAGACCTTTACCTTTGACCCTGTGTGACCACTGCCCGTGACCACACTTGGACTTGCCCAACCTTAGCTAATTCCCAAGTGACCCACTGCCACATAACAGTTAATCCATCAAACATACCGCGCTGAACTTGGCTCGTAAACTCGCACAAGTTAAAATGTTTATATTGTTGATTATTTATACTTATTTCACTGTTACATTTTCGTAGTTACTTACTCTTAGGTGATGAAACAGTAATGAATTGTGTGAAGATTATTCTTTTAATAAATATTGCTTTTACTCACCACAAACTGGCTGCTTCTACCTGAACTGCGGGCCACATTAAATAAAATTTATCAATCATTCTGCGGGCCGCACAAAGATATGGTTCAATGTGGGCCGCGGGTTGCCCATGCCTGATTTAGAGGATTCAAAAGGACCACCAAACTGGTGTTTGTCTTCCAACACTTCAGGTATCGTTACTTTACTTTATCCTTTCAGCCACTGATCTACTTGTTAGCCGTTTGAGCAGTCAGTCACATCTCTGTTATGCACTATTGGCAAGTATTGGACATGTATTGGTATCAGAATGTATCTGTATCTGCATGTGTGTTGATCAAGTCTAGTCCTCTTGAATGAGCTTGTGAGGTTATGAGATATTGGTTCACACTCAGGATGGGATGGAGAAAGGAAACTCACAATGTGCTCTCTGTATACATATTGTATTGGATGTACAATGCAGCTTGTTGCTGGGTAGGTAGTATGGTGATAAGCGTTGAGTAGAGAGCTGGGTGGTGAGGGTGCCCAGAGGAGGGACACGTGGCTTGAGGGACACCAAGGTCGCTGGCGGGAACGGCAGCTGCCAGGCTGGGGCGGAGGAGGTGGTGTTGCTTGCTGGTGGCACTGGGTAGAAAGAGAGGGGTCACAGCGATGTCAGGCCTTATAAGGCGGGGGTAGGCGTGGGTAGATAGTTGACCCCCACTCCGGGGTCACCGGTGTCAGGCCTTATAAGGGGTGGGGTAGGCGTGGGTAGATAGTTGACCCCCACTCCGGGGTCACCGGTGTCAGGCCTTATAAGGGGTGGGGTAGGCGTGGGTAGATAGTTGACCCCCCGCTCCGTGGACGGCGCTGGAGGCGTAGGCTGGGGAATTCGAGAAGGTTCGGTGCTTGTAGGGGAGGAATCCACTACAAGCTTACACGGTGCCGGTGTTGAGCTGTCACAAGAAGCCGATCAGAGGTGAAGAGGATAAAAGTAATAGCCCCTGAGCTTTTTTGCCATCCTAAGGCTCGATAGCTGTGCCTAACAAATGTTTTTTTTGTGGGGGGGGGGGGATTAGCCCACCTTGGGCACTGGTTACTGACCCACATTGGGGTCTGGGGAAGCGAAAAAAATTTAACCATAAATAAATACAGAAATACTTTCACTGATCTGCTCATTATCTGCTTGAGCAGTCAGTCATATCTCTGTTATGCGCTTTTGGCAAGCACATGTACTGGACATGCAATGGCTTGAATATAATCTGAAAAAAATAAAACAATAAGCAGTGAGAAATTATATACACTACTGTATTGATAACCATTTACATATGCACCTACAGTGATTTATTTGCGTATAGTACTTTATATTGTTCTGTCAAAGTAAGAGAAACAATTGAGACCCTGCAACTGTGTGTAAATGTGACAGAAAGTCAGATCAGTAACCTGGGACTTAGTCACAATTTTTGCGATGTCATATGGCAGCAGTCTACCATTAGAGAACACCATTATGCTTTCAGTATCTTCCCAGGCGGTCGTACCTCCTTGTTTGATAGCTGCCTACTATCTAATGAAACTTTTGGAGATCATTAATTGGAAGTAAACAGAAAGGAATTAAATGAAATGGGAATTTGGCAGTAGACCAAATGGGAGTACTGTACATCAGACGAAATGGGCATAATCCACTAACAGGTGTACAGTATTTCTGCAGAGATGCAAAATCTTGGAACATCATAAAATATTGTGAGTAGAAGGCCGTAGTCATCAAGTTCACTAACATTTTCTTTTGAGAATAGTACTTTGATTGATTTAGCTACAGGTACAGTATTGTATTATTCTCGGTATAGCTATATGGGGAATTGTATTTTGATAGCCATAATTAATAATATCCACAAAGTTATTTATTAATACGAAGGTAAAATTTGTTACATCTGAATGAAAATTAATACTAAAAATATAAATATACAGTAGTAAAGTGAAGGCTATATTTAACTGAAATAATGGACGCAATAAAGCAGGTCTGAGTTACACTGAAATTTCTTCCCGTGAACAACATTTGGTAGTTGTGGGTTGGCGGGAAACGTGTGGTGAGCCTGGTGAGGTATGTCATGTAAGGTGACCTATTTACAGACATTTTCGTTTTTTTTTATATGTAGGGTGCTGTAATTGTCAGGATTAATTCTAAGTTTTAAAACAAACAACAGTAGAGGTCTCCAACAGGCCTAGGATAGATCAAGGCCCGACACATTCAAATAGGTTCAGCTTATACATAGACGATGCAGGTACAAACTGGTATTATTTAAGCCCGCCTTGAACCAATCATTTTCGTCATGATACTCTGCCCTAACAGAAACTAAAATACAAACTACAAATTATTCGAAATATGGTAATGACTAATGAGGTTCATTCTTCAATCACTGAACATATTAAGTGTGAGGGAGAGAGTGAAGCAACTTAAGCTCAATCAGGCTTACACGATTTGAAGGTAATTATTAATGATGACTGACCCACGGCTGATTTTTATAGAAAACTGATAAAAATGCAGCAATTTCACTGTGTTTTATATTGGACACTGTCATAGTTGTGGCAGATGTGTTAAAAAGTGTTTATAAGTTCAAATTAAATTAACCCAACATAACCTAAGTTTAAATTAACCTAAGTTAACCTAACCTAAACCAACTTAAACTAACCTTACCTAACTTTAAACTAACCTATCTAACCTAACTTAGCATAACTTAACACCTGCCGTGGGTGAACTTAGTGTTACTGAGACGGGGGGAAGCGGCTGTGATGTCCTCCATATTAGCCTGAAAAACAAGCAACAGAAGCATTGTTAGAAGACCTCATCAACCTAACCAAACAAAGCTATCTAACCTTACCTAACTTCCTAGCACCTAAACAAATATATTACAATATTTAGGTTAGTTACCTTAGATTGTTTTTAAGACAATTATTGTTATACCAATAAATAATATACAGTAAACTGTTGCTAGTTTTTGGTGATTATTTAATGGAAGTGTCATTTTTCTCTTGCACTCATATAAACAGGTAATGGCGGCTTCCCTGATAGTTACCTGCATTGCGGAGAGGTGTGTTAGGATGAAAACATTGGAAAAACAAAATAGGAAATTTGCAATTCCTTTACCCATTCCTTACTGTTTATAAGGTTAATCAATCAATCAGAGTACCGTCCTCATATCTGAGGGTTGGAGACTCCAAACATTTTTGGTCTGTTTTTACCAATCCTACAAGATTTTGTATCTTTCTGGGGACCCGGTTTTTAATTTCATTCATCCATTCCAGCCTTTGCCTTCCTCTGGCCCTCCTACCCACAACTTTGCCCATAAATATATTTCCGTTATTATCCCCTCATCCCTGATTATATGTGACCAAGGTAGCTCATTGTTCTTTTTCTGTACATTTCAAATACATTACGTACTGTAAGTTTTGTGATTTTTATTGTAGTACAGTATTTCTTTTTATTCTCAGTCTTTGACTGTAGTGTTTTGAGTGCTAGTGAATTCTTTTGAAGAACTGGCACTTTTGAGAAACAAAAGAACAACTATTATTATTATTATTATTGTCCATTTGAAAATTTGGTGTAGCAAAGTTATCTCTTAACTCTACACTTTTGCTGAAAAAGCAGTGGTGCCTTGAAGAGGACTTCATCTGCCTATCTTGGCTTAAGTGATTTGTAGGACAGTATTTAATTTTTTTTCTGTATTTGGCTTTAGGTATAGCTGAAATTGTGTTACTAACTGCATATTAGAGCTGCACATATCAAACATGTTTACACTATTCTAATTCTTTATTTTCAGAAAAAGGAATAACAAATTTAAGATGCTGACAACAACACAATTCCTCACTGATGCAGACACTCAAAAATTTGCAGCAGTCCTGAAGTTGTACCCTAATGCTCTCAAGATCAAAGCATCCCTAAAGAAGAAGCAGGGTGAGAGCCTTGAAAAACTTGATAAGTAAGTTTCTCATGAAACTACTGTACAGTATATGGCAAAATGTTCCTAGTTTTGTCATGTTCTTAAAAAAAAACTTATAAAAAAGTAAAGCAACTTTGAAAGGCAGTCATTTTGGGTTTCCTTTATTAGCTGTCATAGACCATATAGCAGTGCTTTTCAGTTTTTAGCAAAATGCAGGTTGGTTTTCCTTAAATAGTGGGGCAGTTGCTTTATGTCTGCATTTAAAGATAAAAAAAGTATGGGTGATCTCTTAATAGCTTACTACAGTAGAAAAAGGAAGGTAATAAGTGCAGTACAATACCAGGATAGTTGTCTAAAGAAATGAAGAGACGACCTGAAATTCTACTTTGTGACCGAATCTAGACAAAGCAACTTGGGGATTATTGTACCAAATCTATGGGTTAAAAAACAAAAACGGGAATACCCAAAATAATGATGGCTGGGACTCATCCATTGAGTAGTTTGGAATCATATTTACTGGAGTTCTTGAAGATGACTTTTAGAGGCAAATTTTACTGACCAAGGCCGGATTTCAGGGTGTTACATCATCTGTGCTCATCCACAATACTGTACTGTACTACTGTATACTATACTTTACTTCCCATGGCTTCCCTGTCTACTCTATCCTGTTCAGTACTTTTCCTGACTCGTAAATGTAACAAATAAATTCTTCCTCTTCTCCAAAAACTTTTCACTCTTGAGTAATTGCCTTAAATGCTCCATTTCATTTCTTTATTTTGTTTTACTTTATCTTATTCGTACCATACGATCATTGTCTATTATTTCTTTGACCATTTGCTGATAAGGTTATCATAATTATTAGTGAGGGATTACCAAAAATGCGATACTGAAATTTCAAGACAAAATCAATATCAGAGATAATGAGTAATGTAATTTTTATTTATTTTTTCCAGTGGAATAAAATTTTTTTTTTTCTGGATAAAAACACCAAAATATTTTTTATTTATTTTTAATAGGATTGACAAGTTCTGTGCCTGTCTTTCTCTCTCTCTCTCTTGAAATTATGTACAGTACAGTAATTACCCGGTACATACTTATATAAATTGGATTACATTATTCTTTTCTAAAAATTATTTTTCCTTTAATAATAATGCTAGATAATTTTACACAGTATATTTTAAAACTAGCAAAATACCTGTACTTTCCTGAAGAGTATAGTAAATACAGTATATATGAAAATATTGCTGATGATTGTACAACACCTTTGCAGAGTACAGTACATTCCAGTACAGTACTACTTTTGACAATAGTTATTGTAAATGAATGAAAATAAATGTGTAAATTATCTAAAAACACTATAATGATATCTTGTACTGGAAGCAACTCAAAATGTAAATTTATGAGGCTACAAAAGAAACAAAAAATTTTCCGCCCAGCATAAAAAAACAAAAACACTTTTTTTACATCTCTAAACATTTGACCGAGGTCAGGTTAAAGGTCACAGCTTTTGTGAAACTGACTCTTGAATGACCTACATCAAGTAGGTCCCTGTTCACCATCCCTGGCTTTGGGCTTAAAGCTCCTTTTATATGAAAGTTGAGCAAAACAACTTCATAATGAAAAATGCATATAAAATATACATATGCATTGTTACTGTACTTTTATGGGACATTTGTATTTTTTAGATGGTACCAAGATGAACTAGGTCGGGATGCACAGTCACGAAAACCACCATACATAACACGTGATGAACTCGTGCGCCTCATGGGCTGGAAACTATCTAGAGGGAAGTTTCGTCCACGCTTGATGGAGTTAGCTGGATCCAACAGTGATGAAAGTGTTCAAAAGGCATCTCAGCAAGGGATTCATCTGGCCCAAAAAGATAAAATACAGGATGCCATTAAAGCTTTAGGTATGAGCATGATAAATTGTCCATAGAGAAATTTAAAGTTCCTTAATTACAGTATAGTTTATCTGCACTTAGTTTACATAATGCTCCAGTAGATTCTTATTTACTTTTTTTAGAGTTGTTTACATTTTTAAGCTGCTTTTTAAGGCCTTGTCACTAGTGGTGCCTTTTCCTCCTGTTTAAAGCTTTACATCTTGATGGGGTTAGTATACTCTAGTCATTTTCTAATTTTAATTGTATAAAAAGGTGTTATACTACATTTGTCTCTCGTTTTGATTTAGGACATTATTTTCTTCAGTCTTCATAATGTTTCCCCAAATTTACTTACCTGGTAATTTTTTATTTTGTTACAGTATTTGTAATGCAATTATCTCTGGGTTTCTTTCTTCTACAGGACATTACATGTATTTGAGATTTTTTGTGCTGTTCTAGCCGGTTAACTGCTGATTCTGTCTAAGTTAATGAGGCCGGAACATTTATATTATATTGGGGTTTTAGTAGCGAAACCCAATTGTCTGTTATCCATTTATTGAGGAACTATCTAGGATACAGTTCCAAAGTGTAGATCACCGTAACTTATCACTGTATGAGTGTTAAGAGAAGGACGGAGGCTATTTAAAATAGACCTTCTATTATACGTCTGATCTGTGTGAGGAGTTGAGTAACAATGCTAATGAGTAGTGACCCATTGAGGGAGAACGGAATATGTACGTCGTCCTCCCTCGACGGAAGACGGAACCATCCACAATGGCTCTCAAATAATGTCTTCCTCTAGTCAAGGATATCAAACTACTGCCCGCATGAGGTGGCCAGGGAGCCAGCTTCTTAATGCCTTAACTCAGCACAATATGACGCTGCTTCCCGTGGGCACACCTTATCATGTGCTCTGAACATGTCACCTCATAGCCAGTGGAAAGTTACAGGGGGTGATAGAGTATATAAATCAAATGTAATTAACTCATTTATATAATACTTCTGCTTATGAGACAGGGGCTATTACAGTGCAACTAACATTATTATATAACTGTATTGAGTACAGTACTGTACAGTACAGTACTACAAAAGCTGAAAGAGAGAACGTCTCAATAAGGAATATAAAGTACAGTAAACCCTCTCAATAGTGGACTTTACAATAACGGATATTGCCAATAAGGACGTCTTTTTGCCTGGTATAATTAGCTGTCTGGACCAGTAAAATCTGTTAATTGTTCACTGTTGACCAATGTTCAATGAAAGTCTAAATAAGCAACGTAATGCTTAACCCTTAGGCCCCGGGTTACGTTTCAGAACGCGCGCCTATTCCTGCCACTTTTTAAATGCCCAGCGCGGGTTATTAGGTTCCAGTGTGACTATTTGCCTCTCACACCACATGTTCGGCCACAGGGAAGCTTCCTGAACATAATTACCTGCTTTTGTTTGTTTCATTTTCATTGTTTGTCCATTTTATCATGTTGTATCAAAGTAATATTGCTAAAAGTACAGGTGCTCCTCTACTTAAGAACGTTCAACTTACAAACTTTCAGAGATACAAACACATCACTGAGGAGGGTTATGTGCCAGAACAGGTGTTTAATGTGGATGAGACTGGATTATTTTGAAGAAAATTCCAGATAGAACAAACATTACCTAAGAGGAGAAGAGTGAGCCAGGTTTTAAGGCTGTATTAAAGGGTATAGCTGTACTAAATATCCATGATCTTTTCATTTTGTACAATATGTTTGGTATCTACAAGAGTAAAGTTTATTTACAAACAATTGGACTTACAAACAAGCCTCAGGAACGTAACTCGTTCGTAAGTAGAGGAGCACCTGTAGTGTAGTTGTATTGGAGGGTAGTATTACTGTAAAACAATGCTCTGATTATGTAATAAATGTATTTATTTGTGGAATTATTATTATTTTATGCATTACTTGCTCTACCAAGCACAAAGACAGCCAGGCAGACTGGCGACCGACTGGTGAGTGTTGCCAAGCACTTTTTTGTGATAAATTATGCAAATAAAATATTCTAAATGAATTACTTATAGCAAATAAGTATTAAGATCAGTAAATACATACATTATTGGCCACCCTGGACACAAAGGCAAACTAAAAATAGCTGCTAAGTGCAGAGTGACCACGAGCATCAGCTGTCAAACCAACACTGTCTCCTTATCTCCCCCCTCCTCCCTCCCTTTGCGCTGTCATGAAAGTTTCTAGAGGGTCAATATATAGTTCTTCTTGCTTGATTTTTATTGTTTTATTATTTTTAAAAGGTTAAAAAAATATTTTTGGAAAAGTTGATTTTCTCGATTTACCCTCGGGTGGGGGGTACTGCCACCAGCACCCTAACCTGGGGCTTAAGGGATAATAATCATGATACTACAAAAAAATAAAATAAATACAAATTATTATAAAAACCAGTACAGTAATAAATGAAAATAAAGTGTAAATGAATTCTCCTAAAATTATGATGATAAGATAATGGAAGATGCAGTGCAGAAATTATTATATAATCTCTTAATGAAACATTAAATTTTACCTTTTATGAACTTGGGCACTGCACAGGTATCCCTCGTTTAACAATGGGGATACGTTCCTGAAAAACCCATCATTACCCGGTAAGTGAAATGATCACTAAACGAGGGATATTAAGGAATAAAATTCTAAACAAGGTATAACAAGGAATAATATTTGTGCTGATGGCATGTAATTGTGTAGCTGAGTCACTGATTTGCCACCCAATAGCACTCAGAGTGGGTGAGGCTGAGGAGTGAGTTATGTTATTGTTCAGCTCGTAATTTTTGGTAGATGTACATAATTTTATTTATTTTTAATGTTACATGCATACACAATCGTTATACGGAATGTGCAAAAAAAAAATGTACTGTACAGTATACGCCCGGATAATTCCCGGATTTTTATTTGGCACCCTGGATGTACCCAAGAATGTCTGCGGGAAGTTTTAAAGTTGACGTCATTTTCGCGGCTGGGACAGGGAGACATTCATTCTAGAGACCGTAATTTCCTTTACCTGTTTTGTATTGTATATACTATGTGTGTGTGTGTAGACACTACACACAAAACATGTACAAATAAAGAATGATGGTAAAATCCTCTCACACATAATTTCAGAAACAAATGTATATTAAAAATGTTGAGTCTGCCCTCAAGTCCACTCCGTGCTTTATTAATAAAGCACATCGCTAAACTGAAAATTGACCCATCGCTAAAAAAAAAAGTGTTAAAATTTTATATCCCTAAATGAATGAACATTAAACGGGGGATATCTACAATATACTGTACCCTTCTTTAAAAAGTTGCAGCAACAAAAAAAGGGGTGATACAAAAACATATGTTGTATTTAAGGTTTATTTGAGTGATTATTGTACTGTTAGCTTCATAGGGAGTGAGAACATTTTTGGCTGATGGAAACATCTGATATCTCTTTGAGGTCGAAATGATTCATTTATAAAAATATACTATACAGTACCTACTACCTCTAGAAGAAGCCAGATGTCTCCATCAGCCACAAATTTTCTCATGTCCTATGATACCAACTGTATATACAGTGTATATACCAACTGTATATACACTTAGTTGTTTCAATATCCACTTAATAATTACCATCCACTTAATAGTTTTTCTTTGATTTATTAGGTTATCTTTGAGGCTTTTACAAGTGCTTCTGTTATATCCTGTGTATGTGAGTTGATAGGTGGAGAAAGGTCAAATCAGTAACCCATAGAGATGACAACTACAGTGTACATACACCAAATAATATATACATACATAGTTACCTACTTAGTTTCATTTTATTGTTTCAACAGTTGTTCTGAAGGGTATTGGTCCAGCAACGGCATCTGGCATACTAGCAGCATGTGTTCCAGAGAAGTGTTGCTTCTTTGCAGATGAAGTAGCACATGCCATCCCATCTCTGGCTTCACTCAAGTACAATGCTGCTGAATATGAAGTGCTGAACTCTGAAATGATTAATTGTGCAAAGCGACTCAATTGTGAGGCCCAAAAAGAAGATGAGGTAGGAACTTAAATGTTGTGTTACAAACATAAAACAAAATTTTTTTATATGGTACAGGGGAGTCATATTACAGTATATTGCTCATTAATAGTTTGCAGCACTCATGCCATGTGGTGCTGTAACCTGCTGAGTGTAAACAAACTTAGTTTATTTACAAATTAAAATTCAAACTACAGTACAGTACTGTGTTCAGAAATAACATACAGAACTTACACATCAGAAAAATTTTCTAGTAGTTTTTAAACAAGGAACAAAGGTTAGTCACATTAGTAAACAGTTTGGCCTCCCAGGTTTTACTTAAAGATGGTGTTTTTTGTGTGTACTACTGTACTGTCAAGTTCTCTTTACCCTCCTCCCCTTATATGCAGTCATGTCTAATTGAAAATTTGTTAGAGAAGTACAGTACTGTATGTATTATGAAACATTACTGTTGCACTGAAATGTAAAGAATGAAATTTAAAGTTAAAATTGCCTTTCAGATATATAATAATTGAATTATAGAAAATTTTGGCCATTATAGTCCCATAGTACAGTATACTGTGTATGTTTCCTAGCTACCATAAGTGTCTTTTTTGTAATCTGATGTCCATTTCTGTGTGAATTTGTTCAGTATGCTTTCTGTCAGGTTGTGCGGTCTTGTATGGATAAGGTCTGATATATAGTTTTCTTGTGTTGACTGGATTGTTAGGTTGTGATGCACTAAAAGTGCTTCTTGCTACTGGGCCGGGTTTTGTAACTGACAGCTCACTCACCCCTTTGTAGTGAAAGGGTAGTGCTTCCTTTTCTCCCCATTGTCATCATCCATGCCGCTTGGGGTTTTATGAGGGACACAGCATACGTGTTTGGGTTGTAGAAATATAGGAGAATCAATTTTGACCATGGCGGTAAAATCTCTCGAGTGGGATTTGCTGATGAGTCACTGCTTCTGTGATAATACTCACCAAACATGATTGTCTGCAACTTAGCAATAGGATTAAAAAGTGCTGGAAGAGAAAATGAAACTGGAGGAGATAACATGGAATACCTGTACTGTTTAGGCAACTGGTCTTATAGTATCTGTCCTGTACAGGTATTTGCATTAAAAGCTAGAATTCCAATATAAGTGGGGTAATCTCCCCGTTAGTTGGAATAATTAGTGTAGAGCGGTTCTGGGTTCCAAAAATTTCTGGGTGTTGAGACAAATTTTATTCCCACATTTAATACACACACAATCTCACAGTTTTGCAGTTATCAAAACATTGGTGGTGTTCTATGCTTATGGTAAGTGAATTTTTGACAGCCATGGTGAATCGGTATTCTGTTTAATTTTTATTAGAGGTACTCGACTGCTAAAATGTGTTTGCACAGTGTTCTTTTGTATTGTTTTTATGTTAATTCGTGCTTATTAGGACACTTCTCATAATTGCCTGAGAGTTAAAGTCACACTTCTGGTTCCAGTGACAACTTTAAGCAGGTGCAAGAACTGGGTGCCAGTCAGTTTTGAAGTACTTTATACAGTACACACTTTTTGTTTAAGTGCTCAGTCTCTGGTCACTTTATGGTTGCTCCAATGAAAATTAACCACCATATAGTACAATACAGTACACGATTCTTTGCCAAATATTTGGAGCAAATGCTGGTGTTACATTACACGTTGATGTACAGTATAGGCTGATTGCTTAGATGGAATAACTTGGAGAATAATATTTTTGAGTTTTCAGAATACAGTATAAAACTTCCCACCTGAGAATAGAATAGCCTCCAAGGGGAAATGGTTATACCGTACTGTACTTAAACATTAAGTACAGGTACACCACCGATTTTTCAGGAACTGATGGTCCGGCACCTCCTTTAGTCCGGACAAAATTATGAGAGGGCACTTAACTTCCCTCCCAGCCAGGGTGAAGATAGTTTTAGGCTTAAAGTTTTCTAGCTGGCTAGACTTAGCAGAATATAAATTGCATTGCTGGAATCCTTGTAATACTGTATAGAAATTAATTTGAGAATAAACATCACATAATTTGTACAAGAGAATTTTTTTTTAGTCTAGTGTAGTACATTTGAGTACAAAGTGTGTACAGTAATGTTGCTCAAAATTATGGCTTTTTCACATTTAATTTACATTTAATATTAGTTTGATTTAAGTTTCTAGCAGTCCATAGTGCTTTAGAGACACAGGAGGTGCATAATTAGTGGGTCAGAGGTGTATTGTTTAAGAATTATTATTACCTGACCTCGGTTGGTTTGGAAAAACGGATAATCCGGCAAGGCTTTGGAACCAAGGATGCCGGAAAATCTGTGATAGACCTGTATCAGAAAGGGAAAATGGCTTTGTGAACCTTCAGGACTTGTTCTTTTCACATGCACATTTATGGTACATAAAGTCTTGTTATTCCTCCAATATGTTTCATATAATTTTTCTCTTTTTTTTTCTCTTACAGAAAGAAAATGGTCTTGAGAAATGGACTCCACACAAAGTTGAACTTACAATTTGGACTTACAGTCTTCTCCATCAAAATAATTCTGAATTACTGTCAGACATAAGTGGAAAACGGAGAACCAGTGACAAGGAAGAACACTTGTTAAAGAAACAGAAAAAGTAGAACTTACTCACTTCAGAGGAAATTGAAGAATATTACAGAAAGTAAGTTTATCTGTTAAATTAGAGTACAGTACACTTTAGTTGTTTGTTTGTCCCAGGTAACTGATAATAAAAATTCTCACACCTGGAAAATGGATGTACAGTACTGTATTAATTTTAACAAGGAAGAGAACAAAAATAGTACAACTGGCTATAAATAGGTGACAAAATAAATATATAATTATTTTATACAATATATATAAATCATCCTTATCATTTAAGAGTACATGTATTGAACAAATTATGATTCTATGGTAAAAAGCTACCACTTCAGAAATTACATTTTCAGAGCATTAACATTAAATATGTACCATTCCTTGCCACATTAGCTGTTGTTTCAGTAATTTGTTTCTCATTTTATTAAAAAACAAAAACACTTGGCAATGTTACATAGTAGTCTTAAGATTATGTGGATTACAGCACTGTTAGTATGGCAATAAAACCAGAAACAGTTGAGGGTAGTGTTTGCCGAATTATCCATTTTTTAGGGTTTGAGACTTCCAGATCAGTTTTTGTGGTTATTGTTGTACAAGTACACTATTACCAGTAGAGGTATTAGTAGTTGTAGTGCACAAATTTGTCTAGAAAATTGGTTGACGACTTTTATAACTTAAGAGATAGAACAGCTCTGTAGGAAGTACTAGATTTATGGAAGAGTTGTGTTCCTAAAAAGTTTCCGTGTACCAGAGTTCCGTAAAATGGATACTATTTTCCCATTGTATAATGGTAGCTGGTTCTTAAGGAAAAATCTGCCGATCCAAAATTTCATAATATGCATAATTTTTACCCTTTTAAATATACATAATTTTTTTTTTAATACTTCATGAATAGCTATACAGCATCATAAAGGTTGTAAAGTACTGGGAGCTTAAATACACAAGTCCTAAGTCATTTGATACCAACAGAATAAGCATGAACCACATCATGTATGATGTGACTCATCAGCAGTGAGTATTGTACTTGATTAACATTTCTTTTTAAAAACAGGAATACAGTATTCTAAAGTTTAACTCGTACTACCACTGCAACACGCACAACATTACCAATGTGGTGAATCATACATGTATTAAAATTTAAGGTTAACCAGTGACCAACTAGTTATATGCAATGAGTGCATTTTGTAACAGATAGGTGAAATCTATGTCCCCGACAGGCTAACAGGTCTGGAGCTGCCAGTCACATTAAGAACCCACACTGGCATATACTGTAATTATGTATGGGGAGTATCTTAGATATGCTGCTAGATTTGGGGGAGTCAGTATATCTCCCTACCAGTAATGCTCCTCATTGACTGACCTAACCTATCCAAGCTGGCCACAGACCTCCTGAAGGATTGATACGCTATTTGACGTTGAAAATAAAACATAACACACTAAATCCCCCAGGGCAGAGGATGGAATATCTAAACCCTTGTGTATGGGGTCCCCTCTGAGCTGAATAAAATTGTCTGGTGTTAGCCAAATAAAGTATTAAAAGTGATATCTCTATAGTGAAAGGGGTTAATGTGGTAATCTGCAATCTAATCAAGCAGATTTGGCATATGGTTATCCTGTGTTCATGAGCAAGGTTATAATAGGATCATCTATCTTAGGGGTAAGGTATGCCCCACTCAATGTTGAAATCTATTGGTTATTGGGCTGAAGCCAGCATCGGCTTCTGGAAGCCATGCTTTTTGATGCCACAGGTCTGGCTTCGGATTTTCATCTTTACACAGACACACTGCCCATATTATATACAATAATTGTATTGAAGATCATATTAAATAAATATGTCGAATTAGTGATGGATCCAAGGCAGCATAATTTTGACCTGACTTGACAAGTGACATGGGTTGTCTTTTTGGCACCAAAATTACTGTACTGACCAGCATGTCAGTGACTAGTGCAAACACAAGAACATATTGTCACAGGTCAATCAGGTCAGAATCTCGACCCCAGGTAGTGCCAGGGAGGGTAAACTTTTAGGGGAGTTCAGGTCAAATGTGAGTTGACCATGTGACCTTGATTACATAGGCTGAGATCTACACTGACATCACCAGTTATCCCTATTGATCTATTCTCACAAGGACCTGACCTGAATGTCGGAAGAAATCAAAGATACCAAACTGTTGTGACCTGACACTAGCTCACGTTGTACTATGAAAATCTTATGACGATTCATTCCATTGCTTCTCTGTGATTTGTGACTGAATTACTATGTTTAGGTATTGTGGATAAAATATATTTGATAAGATAAATTGTTACTGTACTACAATATACCTAAGTAACCTTTTTCAGTCTTTAGGGAAAGTAAAAACTTTCCCCAAGGACAATCAGCTCAAAATAAAGTCAGCTTATCTCAAAGCCTTGCTGCAACTTACATATTCCCTTCAACATAAGGTAATACAGTACAGTAAATTATATAAATAATGGTGTTAAGGTTTCATGAAGCCTTGGCTTTGGCTTCATGACTTAATGTTTGGCTTCTGCTTCGTGTCATTCCAATGCCTTCGGCTTTGAAGCCAGTGGCTTGGCTTTGCCCCCATGCCTGTTAGGTATGCTGTCAGTTAGATTTCATGTCAGAGGTGTGGAGCCACAAGACTAGCCACCTTATCATATATGCTATCTGGACTCAGGAACTTTTGTAAATAATGTCAAAAAACTTTATGAACCAATATACATAAGGCATATTGTCTTAAATCATAACCCTCTGGTACTGCAGCAGTTATTGCCAACAACCCAAGCTTTTTATAGAAAATAAAGCAGGTCATTGGAGAACCAGTCTGGGAACTCCACTTTTGATGGTGATCATCTAAAACCTAAATTAAAAATGAGGATTGAGCTAGAACAAGAGAGAGCAATCATATCTTTGGCATTAAGTGTGTTGATTGGGCAGACACAGCTCTCAGAGACATTTCCTGAGAACTCATGTAAACCTGATCTCTCCTATTTTGGAGGTGATTTGTTTACCCAAATGGCAGTTAACATCAATGGAAATTTTATGTTCCTTGCATTCCAGTGTTTGTAAAGATTTCCTAATGCATCCCCATAAGTACAAAAAGGGGATGCATTAGGAAATCTTTACCTACTGTTTAAGGGTTAATAATTACCTATGTGTGTGTGCCAAGTTTGCTTAGAATAAAATTGCAATAAAGGCCAGTTGAAAGTTGAGTTGCGATTAAACTCTTGGCTTATTTTTTCTTTTAATTCTAAACGTAAGAAATTACGACTTTGAATGAACCGTCATTGTTTATGCTTGCTGAACAGGCGATGCATGTGTGTGGTAGACCAGACTCAGTGCCACATGCCTTTAAGTCAGTTAATCGTGGAGAGAGGCAAGAATCATCTTTAACCACCTCAAGGAAGGTGAGGTGAGGTATCACATTGGAGACATTAACTGACTTGCACACTCCTACCTCTGCTGCTGTCGCTCAAGAGGTTTGGCACTTACTACAACATCAGTGTACTGAGCACTTATTAAATAATAATGTGTAATATGTTTGCATATAGTACTGTACCCAGATTTATTCTTTAATCAATTGTCTATGTGTATCAGTAGCCAAATTAAGCCATCATGTATCACTCATAAGTAAGAAAATAACACTGCTAGGAAAACATCTCCATACCAAGTACAGTGGGGTATTACTATGCATCATCATATTATGTATTCAAATAACTTAAGTTTTAAATGAGATTTACTGGTACATAAAGTTTCTCTCATTTTGGCTTATCTTCTACTGGGGACAAAATGGAATGAAACCATACTTTTGGAAAGGTTACTGACACACTAAACCTTGCAGTAAAAGAAGATAACTTAAGCAGTCAGCAATAGATTCTTCAAAAGCATTAACAAATTGACACTAAAAACTCCTTATGTTAAATTGCAAGAAAAGAGAGAAAACTCTGGATTATAAGACTTGTAACCTGTTGAGGCACATGGTTGGAAAGCAGTGCTCAGTAGACAACCCTTTGGAATTTTCTACCATGGGAAGGACAAGAAGGAGGTGGAGTCTTTCCTTTCTAAGAAGTCAGCCCAATATGCATTCAACTTGATGTACACTTGCCCCAAAAGGTATCTTTACGGAGGGGTCCGATGAATTTCAAAATGAACATTTATGACTCCTGTAGGGAGAGGCCTTGCTCATATCCAAGCTTGTTATCCATGAATCACAAAGGCTGAACTACAGAAACAGTATTTCTTCTGCACTATTGATCCCAATAGGAAGGCATTCCTCACTCCTGCCAAGGGGATTTTTAAGTTAAGGAAAAACCTCAGTGAGCTCTTCAAAAACCTTTGACAAATTATTGTTTGGTGTATTATCCTCTTGAGGGATTTGAATTGTTCCATTTGTTTAAACTAATTTTTGTTGAGTTATGACATAACATGGTAGATGTATTTTCTTGAATCTTTTTTCTCCTTAATTTTGTTAATCCTTTCACTGGGGCAAGGTTGAGACCCAGCACCACCCCCTGTTAGGGATAGAGTATTCGTATTCAAATGAATTCGAATACAGCATTTCAGGGTATTCGTATTTGTATACATTACTAATAGAAATACAATTACAGTAAAGCCTCAAATAACGACGTTAATGTGTCCTCCAATATTGCAGTGTAAGGTGAATCGTCTTATTGCTAATCATTAATTACCATTAAAATAAAGCAATAATAATGAGATGTGTTCCCAAGTGTGACCCTTTCATATCTTTTGTGTGACTTTTTGCCCTCCCCCTCCCCAAACAATACAATTAATGAAAAGTGCAAACTATATTCTTTAAATAATGTTTCTGAATGCACCTTATACAATATAAATGAATAATAATATGGTCACACAAGAGGAGATGGGACGCCATTGTTTTCGTTTGTGTTTACAGCCGGGAGTCCGGGACGATAGTTCTACACGAGAAAATGAAGAAAATAAGACCCTGGTTGTAACTGTAGTAAATTTAATGTAAAAAATGAATATATATGTTTTAAGTAACGTTATTTAATGTTAATAAATGGAACAATCGAAGTAGCTAACCACTAATGGCAAAGAATAAAAGAGATGGGTTGAGAACGCCAACATATACGTGCGCATTTAAGGATACCGCGCCATTTATCTTAAGAATATGTACAAAAGATTCATTTTTGTTTATTACTGAATATGTATTTGATTGAATTAATGTTTATATATGTGAAATGAACAATGCAATTCATTAATAATACGCAGAATATTAAATCACACGAGGTGACAAGACGACATTGTTTTCGTGAGTGACGATGGTTCTACATAAGAAACTGAAGAAAATAAGACCCTGGTTGTAGCTGTAGTGAACTTAATTTAAAAAAATTGAATACCTGTATGTGTTTTAAGTAATGCTATTTAATGTTAATAAATGGAACACCAGGAGAAGCTAACCACTAATGGTAAAGAAATAAGGTGAGACGATTGGGAACGCCAACGTATGAACAGTATGCGTACATGTGAAAACATATCGT